CGTTACTTATGTAGCAGTAATTAATGTGTCTGAAACTAAAAAACATACAAAAATACATTTCTTGAAAGAAGACAAGCCTTGCTTCAGTCTGGTGGAAATACAGGGTTTGAAAACTGAGTGGCTGGATGCAAGTCACTGCCCTCCTGTATACTGTACTACCCCAATGTCTGTAACACAAGAACCCAGACTTACTGACCATCTGAGACACATTTGGTAATGTTCAGTTTCAGGAACAGACATGATTTGGACGTCAAAGATATTTAGGTACATGTTTTCCACACAGTGAATTTCTTTTAATATGTAAACCTCCTGAAAAATCAGTATGTAAATTCTTACTCCATGACTGCATAGCATGTAAAATATCTGTATAAAGTGATCCTGAGGCTTTTCATAGTCTTCCACAGTCCCGCCAGAATTGTAAATGGTATTTTGTGTTTACTGCCTCCTATACACGTATTTATCATTATATGAAAAGTGTCACGAATTACTGTTAACTGAAGCGTAAAAAGCAAGTAGCGTAATATTACATTACATATTGGTCAAGTTGTTTGAACGGGTGAATTACCCCAAATTTCCAACTAAGCTCCCCGTATGCATCCACCCATCACTTGAATTTGGCACCAGGCGCAAACTTTTTTGTAACCCTTGAGGATTACAACATGAGAACAAGTTCCCTCAGCTGAGTTGTCGAACAATATAAGTTTATATTATATGACATTAGGTAGAAATCCTTTCGTAGAAAACCGTAAACATAGACACGGATTATCGAACTCTAGTCGCTCTAGTCAATCAAGTCATGGATTAGTCTGTTAGGACCTGTCTCGTATGCGATCCGTGGTGCTTGAATTGATCTGAAAAGATTCACAATGGAGGCAACGTTGAACGTGTTAAGTACAGGAGATTTAGGTATCAGTACATCAACCGACGGTGTATGGGATAAAGTTTGTCTGGCGTATCCTCTTCTTACAAGTAATGTAGGTGCAATTTATATGTCCGTAGAATAATGTTATTCATTATGTTGACCGTACAAATAAATAGGTTCGAAAGTTGAGATATGCAGACGTAAGGGAAGCAGGCCGAATCAATATGTGATATATTTATGGCAAGTGAAGTTTGTGGTTTGTAAGCCCTTGTTTTTATTGTGATGTATTGGTTAATGTCTTTGAAGATTTAAGGGTAATCTGAGTTACCTGAGGTAACTGAAAGAACTTAAGGTGACATTTGGAATAAGTTTATACAATTTTAAGTGTCTTGAGTTGCAGAACTGTCATAGCTTGGGGGAACTGGGCTAAGTTGAGGTGATGCAGAGAGCTTGAAATAAAATGAGAGCCGAGTTAAAATAATTAGCATGAGGGAAGAAAATAGTGTTAGGCGGTTTAGGTTGGGCTGTGCTTCATTGTTCTGAGCAGGGTTAGGTTGGGTTAGTGAATTGACAGATGCATATGCTACTTCCCTGCCTGTACTGGTGTTTGGCGTGTAACATGTGCAAAAATTCTACTAGGTGACATAAACATAATAGTATGAATATCAGATTTTGATTTACACCTTATAGACTGCAGTTCTAATACTGTTTTAGAAATAAGAAATAAGTGGATTATAATTGTCATATATTCCCTCCTTCCATATTTTTTTTCCCCCTGTACATAACAGTTACTTGTAATAAGTGTTGTAATTCACATTTTTCTGTGATTCTTTCCAGGAGCTTCCTGAAGAATGCCCAGATGATGATAATGTCTTGAAGGAAATTAATGAATTGAAGCTTAATACATTTGTAGAAGACATTGTAATATGTCGAATTGAACAGATAATGCGCCAGAAGATCACTCCAGAATTCTGGGGCAGATTTTCTGGCCGAAAAACTGAGATTGATGGTTTTGAACGCTTTAAAGGTGCTGTTGACTATTTATACAGTTCCCTGGCCAGTTTCCTTTCTACAGTGGAAAAACTGGAAAAACTTAGATTCATTTCCAGATTTAATCGAGTAATTTATGGTGAAGACACATTACTTGGAGCTTTCAAAGTGATTATGACATCAACATTACTGTCTCAGCTTCCATTGACCCATCAAGTAATTACTGAAGACTTCTATAAGGTGTCTTTCAAAGTGTTTTGCAATACGGATAAATCTGAGGCTGGTAAGATTTAAAATATTTACAGTTGTTGAACAGCACTATCATACATGATATGTAGCCTGAGTTACATGGCATCAGACCCAAGAAGACAGTAGTTTTCATAGTTATCACTGTACAAACCTCAAACTTTTACATTTGGTGTCAGTTGCCCTTTTGGCCATCTTCATCATCAGCTTCTCATTGAGAGGAGACATAATTCCATATGTCAGAAATGAACAAATTGCCTGGAGAGTATCGCAATATTGGTAATGAAAACTCCGTGGCCTGTAGTCTGCAAGTAAACTATACCGATCGAGCAACCGCCGCTTGTCAGCGAAGTTAGTGCCAAGTTTTGCAGATGGAGGGTGCCATGTTGTCAGCGCAGCGGACCCCCGCTCATTCCCAGTTGTTGGTTTGAAAATGTCTTCCCTCCCTACTTTGGCATTGAAATCTCCTAACAAAAATTTTCATAAGGTACTTCGGGAATTTATCAAGTACATGTTCTAGTTCTTCATAGAATCTATCCTTTATGTCATCAATTTTATCTTCTGTTTGGGCATGAACATTCATAACAATGATATCACACCAGCAACATTTTAGTATTATAGTATATGATATCCTATCACTAACAAACTCTACCCTCTTAACTGATATGATTCTCTTATGTACGAAAAAACCTGTACCTAATTCATGATTTTCATTCCCCTTTCCATAGAGAAATGTATTGGCCCCTGCTGATGTGATACCACCTCCAGGGCAGCACCATAGCTCAAGCAGTTAGTCACTGGCTTCCCACTGCAGTGGCCCGGGCCTGGTCAAGTGGGATTTGTGGTGGACAAAGTGGCGCTGGGGCAGGTTTTCTCAAAGTACTTCGGTTTCCCCTGCCAATCTTCATTCCACCAATTGTTCCATAATCACCCTCATCTCTCATCTGGGACTGGTACAATAGGCCAGAAGTGGCTGCAGTACAAGGGACTTAGTCCCACCCCACTAGCAATAAAAAGAATGCCACCTTCATCCCATCTAATCTTCCGGTACTCCCACTAAATCTAACTTATATTTTAAGATTTCTTCTGGCATTGCCGTGAGCGAACCTGCCCTGTACAAACTTCGAACATTCCAAGTGCCAAATCTCATATCCATTTTCTTTAGCTTAGGACGTTTATCCAAGGAATCTGTTCAGGTCCGAGGCTTTGTGTTCATTTTCATAACTTACTTATTTTTTACGGTGAGGAGTTGTTAGCCCCATGCCCAACCCCCAAGCTGGAGGTCCATCCCTTGTCAGCTGTCCGTGACTGCTTATTCAATTTATTCACAGCTTCCCTCCAAAACTGGAGGGTGTCTCCATCCACAACCTATGGACGCACCATGACATGGTGACAAGGGACCCACCTAACTTGAAATATTTACAGTAGGTGGGATAATTATTTCTATGGGTTGTTTGAATGTACATCCCCAAAAGGTGTCTCCACCTTGTTGTGGTGGTGGAGCTTGTGTGACTCTGTGACCCGGAGAGCTATGCCAGCAGTAATTTAATTACCAGTAGGATCACCCATGCCAGAAAGGTCAAAGGGTAGAGTCCAGACTAAGAGATATACCCTGGTCCTCCAGGTTGGTGGTTGGGCTTGAGGCTAACAACCTCATCCTATAAAAAGAATTTTGTTCAGAAACCTAACAACCAGTTCAATGGGTGTGTCTGCTCGCACATGCATGCGGGGGCATGTGTGCTCGTGTTTCCCCCCAGGTCTGCATCCATAAATAAAAGAAATATCCATGAATATTATGTACTGTCTCCTAATGTTTGTACCATCTGGTATCTATAAAATTGAAATGTAACTGGAAGATGACCTTTGGTGAATGGATGTGCTAGGAGTTTGCCATAAATGTGCAGGGCATGCCATGTGCCTGTCTTACATGTAACTGCTGAACAAATAGCAAGTGTTAATTGTTTGGAATGTTACGAATCTTGCGTTACTGTAGGTCAGAGGCTATAGGCATGCACATTGCTAGTATAATAACATGTGTTAGATTACTTTTAATTTATTTTAATGTTTGTGCCCTCATGTCATTCCCTTTTTCCCACTGTTTTTAACGTGAATATGATCAGTGTGCTTCTTGTGTACACAAAAAGTGTAAAATGATGGGGCTGTATGGGAGTATGTGGTTCTAAAATATGCGACTTGGATGGAGGAGCTGCAGGTAGCAACTGAACTTGCATGGCTGCTGCTTCCTGATGTCATCATTGAGTAGAGGTGACCACATTTGTTTTTGCCCACTGCTTTCTGTAGGCATCGACAGAAGTTATAAGATTGTAAACATCTAAGAATGTTTTCCTCCAATAACAACTTATTGCACACCTTCATGCTGCTAGATGTGTCACTACCACAGAGGGCACATTGAAGAAGTGCATAGGATCAAGTATGCACATGAATTTTTGATGCTGACACACATGACATAGTCCGAGTTATTATATTGTTTATGTCATTTGCGTCCCTGCTGTAGCAGAGAAAGTCATCATTAGCATTATGTTAGATAATTAAATTAAGATTCCAGCAACCAGCCAAAAGCATGAATGCAGAGCAGATTTTATTGTTATGATCCATTATTTGTCTTGCTCTTTTATTCTGATTTGTCACTTCGAAAATGCCAGTTCTCTTTGGTTTGTTGTAATGTTGCTTTCTTACAGATCAAGATGAATCAACAGAAGATGTTGTACAGTGTGGCGGTTGCAGCCATGAGATTGAGCACTGCCGGTGTCAGACAATCCTGTCAGTGTTCCATGAAACAAACAGGTAAATAAATCACTTCTGCTTCACAGTGATATGGTTAAGAAAAAAGTTCTTCCCTTTGTAAGTTCTGTACAAGAGAAATTACTCTTGGTACCACCTGAACTCCAGATATGCATGGAGAGTGTCACTACTGAAGTATTCCAATCACAAATTCTATATGCATATGTAAATCCTATTTATTGTTGCCTGTCTGCACCGTCATCATCCTTGTATACCAGGTAACTACTCCCTTAATCATGACTAAGGGATGTGTTCCCTTTCTAGAGTCTAGGTTTTCATGGATTAATTTATGCTCCAAACTTGGAAGAATAGCTGTGTACACATTCTTGGATGTGATTCAGAAATTATAATGTTTTTAAGTTAATAGTCTGTTTAATTTATGAGTCAGCATCACAGTGAAAGTGTCGGTATGTTCTCTGTTATCATTTATATATTGTGCAGTTTATCCAATTTGTCAGTTTTCTGATGTCTTTTTTTAGCTCTGANATCTGTTCAGGTCCGAGGCTTTGTGTTCATTTTCATAACTTACTTATTTTTTACGGTGAGGAGTTGTTAGCCCCATGCCCAACCCCCAAGCTGGAGGTCCATCCCTTGTCAGCTGTCCGTGACTGCTTATTCAATTTATTCACAGCTTCCCTCCAAAACTGGAGGGTGTCTCCATCCACAACCTATGGACGCACCATGACATGGTGACAAGGGACCCACCTAACTTGAAATATTTACAGTAGGTGGGATAATTATTTCTATGGGTTGTTTGAATGTACATCCCCAAAAGGTGTCTCCACCTTGTTGTGGTGGTGGAGCTTGTGTGACTCTGTGACCCGGAGAGCTATGCCAGCAGTAATTTAATTACCAGTAGGATCACCCATGCCAGAAAGGTCAAAGGGTAGAGTTCAGACTAAGAGATATACCCTGGTCCTCCAGGTTGGTGGTTGGGCTTGAGGCTAACAACCTCATCCTATAAAAAGAATTTTGTTCAGAAACCTAACAACCAGTTCAATGGGTGTGTCTGCTCGCACATGCATGCGGGGGCATGTGTGCTCGTGTTTCCCCCCAGGTCTGCATCCATAAATAAAAGAAATATCCATGAATATTATGTACTGTCTCCTAATGTTTGTACCATCTGGTATCTATAAAATTGAAATGTAACTGGAAGATGACCTTTGGTGAATGGATGTGCTAGGAGTTTGCCATAAATGTGCAGGGCATGCCATGTGCCTGTCTTACATGTAACTGCTGAACAAATAGCAAGTGTTAATTGTTTGGAATGTTACGAATCTTGCGTTACTGTAGGTCAGAGGCTGTAGGCATGCACATTGCTAGTATAATAACATGTGTTAGATTACTTTTAATTTATTTTAATGTTTGTGCCCTCATGTCATTCCCTTTTTCCCACTGTTTTTAACATGAATATGATCAGTGTGCTTCTTGTGTACACAAAAAGTGTAAAATGATGGGGCTGTATGGGAGTATGTGGTTCTAAAATATGCGACTTGGATGGAGGAGCTGCAGGTAGCAACTGAACTTGCATGGCTGCTGCTTCCTGATGTCATCATTGAGTAGAGGTGACCACATTTGTTTTTGCCCACTGCTTTCTGTAGGCATCGACAGAAGTTATAAGATTGTAAACATCTAAGAATGTTTTCCTCCAATAACAACTTATTGCACACCTTCATGCTGCTAGATGTGTCACTACCACAGAGGGCACATTGAAGAAGTGCATAGGATCAAGTATGCACATGAATTTTTGATGCTGACACACATGACATAGTCCGAGTTATTATATTGTTTATGTCATTTGCGTCCCTGCTGTAGCAGAGAAAGTCATCATTAGCATTATGTTAGATAATTAAATTAAGATTCCAGCAACCAGCCAAAAGCATGAATGCAGAGCAGATTGTATTGTTATGATCCATTATTTGTCTTGCTCTTTTATTCTGATTTGTCACTTCGAAAATGCCAGTTCTCTTTGGTTTGTTGTAATGTTGCTTTCTTACAGATCAAGATGAATCAACAGAAGATGTTGTACAGTGTGGCGGTTGCAGCCATGAGATTGAGCACTGCCGGTGTCAGACAATCCTGTCAGTGTTCCATGAAACAAACAGGTAAATAAATCACTTCTGCTTCACAGTGATATGGTTAAGAAAAAAGTTCTTCCCTTTGTAAGTTCTGTACAAGAGAAATTACTCTTGGTACCACCTGAACTCCAGATATGCATGGAGAGTGTCACTACTGAAGTATTCCAATCACAAATTCTATATGCATATGTAAATCCTATTTATTGTTGCCTGTCTGCACCGTCATCATCCTTGTATACCAGGTAACTACTCCCTTAATCATGACTAAGGGATGTGTTCCCTTTCTAGAGTCTAGGTTTTCATGGATTAATTTATGCTCCAAACTTGGAAGAATAGCTGTGTACACATTCTTGGATGTGATTCAGAAATTATAATGTTTTTAAGTTAATAGTCTGTTTAATTTATGAGTCAGCATCACAGTGAAAGTGTCGGTATGTTCTCTGTTATCATTTATATATTGTGCAGTTTATCCAATTTGTCAGTTTTCTGATGTCTTTTTTTAGCTCTGATAATGTTTTTATTTCTGTAAAAATTATTATCTTTGTAATTTAATTTGCAGAAAACTCATAGAGCTGGACCTTCTGGAGAGACTTGCAGGTGAGGTAATCACTTCTTTAATTCATATCAGGATTGAAAACCATGTTCAAGAATCCTGCAAAGGAAGCTTTGACACATCATACATATCTTCGTTGGAATCAGTGAGTATACTGAGAATATGTTACTAGACGTATTCAAGAAGTTATGAACAGTGTGTTCTTCGTGCATTATTTACACACAGCACATAAAATGAATGTTTCATAAGGAGGTCACACCTTACTAACTTAGTTAGTTAGTTATTAGAGAGGGTGGGTTTCCCCATGCACTTAGACCTGTAGTGGTCCATTGTGCTTCCCTCTATGATTTCTACCAGCCTCTATATCCTACCGGTATTGGTGCTTACCATCAGTCCCGCCCAGCCAGCGAGACCGGCTCTACTGGCTGAGAAGTATCTATAATGCTTCCCCCATCTACCGTAGGTATTAGTGACTGCTGTTGGGCGGCAAACGTCCGCAATTTTGCTCAGTGACCTCCTTTGGAGGTATGAGGTTCTTTTATGTGCCGTAAAGCTACGACACGGGACCCACGGCTTAAAGTCCCTCCCGGAGGACTTGTTCCCTGAATTTTTCTGCCCTTAAAAATTTGACGACCTCCGCCGGGTATTTGAACCTGCGTACTACAAGTCATGAGGTGGGAACGTTACCTCTAGACTACGGAGGCCACTACCTTACTAACTTACTCACGGAGCTGAGCCCTTCTTGAGGAACTGGCAATTCTGCAGCTACTCAAGAATTTCCCAGCATTTTATGGAACCCAAAGGTTCATTACAGTGTTCACGAGATCCCTCCACTGGTCCCTACCCTGAGCCAGATCAGTCCAATCCATACCATACCATCCTATCTAAGACCCATTTTAATGTTGTACACCTACCTATTCCTTGGTCTTCCTAGTGGTCTCTTTCCTTCTGGCTTTCCCACCAATATCCTATATGCATTCCTCTTCTCCCCAATTCATTCTACATGCCCTACCCACCTTGAGGTGATACTTATTATTATTTGGTGTACAAGGCATTGATATTAAATAATGAGACTTGGGCAGAAGAGTCGGATGTTTTTCCCATCAAATTGCACTGACTCAGTACATAAATTTGCTGCATGGTTGTACTGTCCAGAACACTCACAGTAAATATTGTGTGTGTGTGATCAGAAGTGTTGTAATGTCATGTAACTCATGTCCAGTGAGTATAATGCTTGGCATGTAACTAGACAGCAGGCAGAAATCATGCCTATATGTAATGCCTGTTTGTAATGCCACTCACATGAGTGCATTTGTCCATTCCTTTTCTCTTCATTACCAACCCTGGAGTCCATTCAGGGTAATGTGTGTGAAGCTGACTTATTCACCTACATCCTTTGCACTGGCATGTTTGATTCATTAAATCTGAATATAGGAAATGTGAAGTTCTGAAATTGTGGTAAAGGAATTAACATTTGGCTCTTTGTTCTTGCTTCCACAGTGGCTCAGTACAGTTGTGTTGGGATGGCTGACTCATGTGTACAGCGGGAATGCAGCATCAACTCAGTCTTCAATAAAGAAATTTCATCAGAAAATATCACACTTCCTATATGAGACTTACACTCGCACAAGAATCGAACAGTTGTTCAATATAATTATAGGTGAATTTATGTCATGTAGTATATCAGTGTTAATATTATTATAATATATTTTATTTGAGCATCCTGTTGCATTTATGTATCACTCATTCATTTCTGTCTCTAATGCAACATGAAATTGCTCACAATCTCTCCTTTATTTAAAATGACATTAAAAGCACATCAATTTCTACATATTTCAGCCCCACTTGGTCATCTTCAGGCAATTGTTCACTAATTGAAACTGTTGCACTGCACTAGTTTGTAAGTCAGTGTAATCCATCCTTCACCCTAAAATGTGGTGGTTTGAGAATAAAATCTCTCTCTTCATTCCATGTTATTTTCCCTTTGTGGCATCCATGTTTGTTCCCCCTCTGTATATTTGTTCTCACTAGTTGGTATTATGTAGTTTGTATGTCATTCTGTGACATTTGAAGAGATATCAGATGGATCTCAGAGGAATTTACTGAGTAACAAAAATACAGTAATGTGTTATATATAATTTTCTTTATGAATGGTAAAGTATGTCACTTTAATTTTTGTTTGTTAGAGCTGTATCATTCAAAAGGAATGGATTAGTTTTTAAGTTACAAGTTATCTTTTTCAATGTGTAAGTCCATACATCGAAGTGGAGACACTTGAAAAATTATTGTTTTGAGAAGATATGTGATATGAATATGTTGTATGAGGAAGTAACATTGTTTCAATATGCTTAGAAATAAAACATTAATGAAACTGAATATTATATTTGATTTTCATAGCTGAAAATGCCAACATTTGAGTATGTAACTACATACAAGGAAGAAGGTCTGAAGCAATGCTGTCAGGAATAGAGTTTTAACATTTAAATTCTTGGCATATAGTGTGATGAGAAAACAAGTTAGCAAATTGTTGTAACATGCCATATTGTGAATTGGTCATTTAATGGAAAGATTTCTGTCATTTATTTATTTATTTTTTATTTAAAGAATACCCCGATTCACAGCCTGCAGTAGAAGATTTGCGGATTTGTCTGCAGAAAACAGACTTGAGGTTGTATCTAACACAGAAGTTGCAGCGTGCCCTTGAGACACGATTGCTCCATCCAGGAGTTAACACTCCAGATGTGTTAACTGCATACGTTGCAGCTATCAGGGCTCTTCGACAGTTGGATCCAACAGGAGTGCTCCTCGAAACAGTGACTCAGCCAGTCAGGTGTGTAACTTTACAGAATGGCTTCCCTGTTGTTACTGTGTAATTATCTGCTACTGTCACCACCACCATCACTATTCTTAACAGTGGAAACTGAGTATAGGTGATATCAGAGAAATATTTTGTTTGGTGTTTTGGACTTTATTACAAGTTAAAATAGATCTATCAAACTTTATTCCCAAAATGTGTCAGAAAATTCATAAATAAATTGAATTCAGACAGTACTTGCGTTGGCGTGATGACACTGTCCGATGTGTAGTAAGTAGCTTGACAGAAGAAGGGCCAAGCGAGCTGGCAGACGAGCTCGTGAGGGGTGAAGCATTGCAACTAGATGAAGGCACTCCTTTAGATGAAGATATGGCTAATTGGGAAACCTGGAACCCTGATCCTGTTGATGCTGATCCATGTAAGTCATTTATGAAATTGAAGCCATGGTATCTTTTTTGGTAAAATCACTGGCTACAGATTGGGTGCCCAGAATTTGATGCACAGTAGCAGGCCTTTCTCCAGGTATGAATATAGCTGGAATATAAATCTGACCTCTCATCATATGTATAGTGTAACAAATTTATATTCCTCATGCTACTGTCAGTTTAAGGGCATTTAGTTGCACTACAGAGATATTATTCATGTGCGGGGTCATGGTTGACTTCAATTTAAACCATATTTTTGCCTTCGTGTCAAGCAGTAAATGAATTTATGGTCAGAAATATGCGTAGTCTACGTTATTTTGGTGGGATATTCAAGAATTAATAGTGATAAAATGTAGAAGAGAATAAATTATATAATTATTATCTTTCATAGTTGACAGATGTAAATGCATAGATGTTTATTTGGTAATTGATTACAGCCAAGACTTCTAAAAGTCGACGAACATCAGATATTATTTCTATGCTAGTGAATGTATATGGAAGCAAAGAGCTGTTTGTGAATGAATATCGTACACTCCTAGCTGATCGTCTCTTGTCTCAGTTCAGCTACAACACTGAGAAGGAGATTCGGTATCTTGAACTTCTGAAGCTCAGGTGAAGTATGCCATCAGTTTGATTTTGTTGTAAGAAAGTTCAAAGTGAACAAAATACTTATAATTTTTGCGTGTATCACTGGGCTCTCCTCTTTCATTGCTGTTTTATATGCTTCGCATATATTGCTACTATGTATGCCTGTGAACAAGATGAATGTGGTTCAGCAGAATGCTGCCTGCTGTCGTGGAGGATAACATAAAAGGTGCATCCCAAAACTGAGTTGAACTTTATTTTTAAAAAAAATTATTGCTGAAAACAGTCTACACAAAAGTTATTGATTTTTCAGTGTAGTTTCCTCTTAATTCACATTGGAAACGTTTCAGGAATCTTATTTTGCACTAAGTTTTTCCACTGGTGAATTACTATCCCCAGCACAGTTCTTCATTGACTGATATTAAGCCCATTAAATGAGAGATTAACTGTAAGTATTTCATCCTTGGGGGCTGATAGAAATCTGTGAAAGTTTCCATCACAATCAGTCTTGCAAATAAGAAAAATACAATATCTGAAACAGAGCCACATCAAACAACCGTCACACCATGACTGATGATCAAGATAAGTTGAATAAACGAATGAAAGAGAGTTTCACCAGGAACAATGCAAACATAAACGAGAGTTTGTGACAGAGTTGTGAGGTTCTGACTAGGAACCTTTTGTAGTGGCAGGGGAATAGAACTTATCATTGGAATGCCTCTTATATTGTTATGGTAAAAGAATAAAAAATAACTTTATCAGAATTTCTTGATTTCCCTCACATATTTTTGTTAGACTTTTAAACATCTGCAAAGTGAAGGAAACCAGGCAACAAGCTCCAACCACCACTCACAGATGGAGAACATTAGACATGGTACAATTTACTCTCCAAAACATATGTAAGGGTTAGGAAGTCATTTTAGAATGAAGAAAAGGGCCAAGAAGGATCTTACTGACATATTATGAAGTGATGCTCAGGAACAACAAACTTTATTGGCAGTACAACATAGAAGAGATATTCAAAATTAGTTGTTACTAAGACAGTCATCTTCATAGTCACTTCTGTGAGAACTTCAGATCTCAGATAGCTAATATTAATTTAGATCCCTCTTAAATTTGTATAAAAATGGCTCAAGATAAATGTAGCAAATATCTGTATCACTTGCATCTTTGATTCACTTAATTTTATATTGACACTGTTAGGTGTTTGGGTGTTGCATGCTGTATATTCATGTGAGGAGCAAATTGTCATGCATAGAAGTTATAGAGACTGATAAATTACACATATCTCATAATATTTGCATCGAAGTAGGTAATTTTAAGGATAACAGTAATCCCTATTAATTTGGCCAACCTGCTGCAGTGCATGTCCATTTGATATACAACATTTTGCATACACGTACATGGCAGACATAATATATAAATGAAAATGAATGTTTTAGTGAACACCCAAAGAAAGTATTTGCCACTTCTTATTTGCAAGTGCCATGTATATTTCTTATACAGTGAGAAAAATTGTGGGTGTTAGCTACCCAGTGTGTGTAAATTAGATAGGTCAGAATGGAAGCAGCAGAGAGGCATGAAAACACAGATACTATGTCTCAGTTTGTGAATTTATCTCTTTTCATGGTGGGGAAAGTAATGAACTTTACTAATGTTTATGTAGGTTTGGAGAATCACAACTTCATTACTGTGAAGTCATGTTGAAAGATGTTTACGATTCCAAGAGGATCAATGCTCATCTTCACTCAGATCCCAACTTCAACCTTGACAGACAGCAGTTCCCATCCATGGCAATGATTTTATCAGCACAGTTTTGGCCACCATTTAAAGAAGAAACTTTAGAGTTACCCAGTTTTGTGAAAGAACACCTACAAATTTATACAAAAGCTTTTGAGACTTTGAAGGTAATAATTTCATAGTGATACAGTAGGCCTTTCTTATACCATGTTTCATTATGCTGTGGATTTGACCAGGCTCCTTGGTACAGTTATATATATGCTTTATATCACAAAGTTCTGTAAAATGTTTTAGTTAAAGTAGAAGACTGTATTGAAACATTCCTAGCTGTAATATGCAGGTACAGAATGTGAAGTCCATATTCTACTATGAATAGGCTGTATGTTTCTGGTTCCTCTAACCTAGAGATTATTTTGTTCAGACCTTAAAATCTTAATAAGCACCCCTTTTACCTGCCTGAGATGAACCTTAAATATAAAGCACATGTTTTATTCAGTGCATAAATATTTTCCAAGTCTTTATGGATAGAAGTAAACGAGAAGTTTAAGTTAGTGTATTGTATAAGTTTGTTCATATGTTTTCCTCCTTACCAACAAACACATGTTTAATTTTTCTGTAGTATGTTCCAGAGGTCAGATAAACTGCACACATATTTAATTATATTGATAATTAACAATAGGAAATGCTCAAATGAACTGTGACTTTAATTATGCTGATATTACACTTCATTTGCAAAGTAAGTACAGATCCTTGTGTTTTTCAGGGTAATCGCACATTAAGCTGGAAACCACACCTGGGGTCTGTAAACATTGATATTGAGCTGAAAGACAGGAAAATCAATCTGACAGTATCTCCAACTCATGCCACTATCATTTGGCACTTTCAAACAAAAAGTAAGAGTGATTTACTGTATTCATTTGAATAATAGCCCATGTTGCTATTTACAATTTAAAATGAATACAGTAGTAAAGTATTATCTTTGAATCAGTACAGGTATGTGTGAGTAACTGTAATCAACTTCGTTATTAAGCTGTGAAGGTTAGACAGGTTAGGTTGGATTATGGTGAGTCTAGAAAATGTAAATTAAACAGATTCATTCTCAGGTACATGACATGAGCTCACCATAATGTAAAGTTGTTCAAAGTGATTAAATTTTGTTACTTCTGAAAGCTTACTACAAGTTTTAACCCCATATGATTTTCTGGTAATTGTTTTCCTCCCAACTTCAGATGCATATATAAGACGTTTGAAAATTATTTTATTTCTTCTGTCATCTTTAGCTTATTCTTTCTACACTCCATCATCTTATAAATTTGCTAGTGGAGGGTGGAGTCCAGCTGGGTTCGCTCGGCCCAGTGGCCACTCATTGGCCTATTGTACCTGCCCTGGGTGATTATGATGATGGAGAATTTGGTGGAATGAAATTGGCAGGGGAAACCGAAGTACTCAGAGAAAACCTGCCCTAGCGCCACTTTGTCCACCACAAATCCCACTTGACCAGACCCAGGATCAAACCCAGGCCGCCGCGGTGGTAAGCCAGCAACTAACCGCCTGAGCTATGGCACAGCCTATCATTTGATAAATAATTCTGTCTTTGCTGGCTGATATTTGATTTGTAAGTCCTCATGGCCTAACTTAGAAGCATTGCTGCTCAGAAGGTGACCCCTGTTTAGACCTTATATTAGTTGATATGAATCACATTGTTAAAGTTTCATACATTATCATTATCATTTATTATTCAACAATCCATACATACAGGTATTACAACCATTTGGATAAGGAAATTGTCAGTTTTACATCTAATTCTCCTGCATATCTTTACATGATACACTGTACCCCCTAATACAGGGGGGTTTGTCGTCTGAATAATATTATCTAGATCCAGCTACCATTAATTTCATTGTTTTTACACGGATACAACAAATTAATCAGCTACATATTACATTTACAAACTTGAAAAATCAAAAGACATAAATTCATCTACAGAATAAAAGGAATGTTTCAGCAAAAAAGATGTTAATTCCTTTTTAAATGAGTTAAAATTTTCCCTTTGTTTTATTTGATCGGCAACCTTATTATACAAACTAATTCCCATATTTATCACACTCCTCTTAAAAAGAGCTGTATTACAGTGCTATACATGAAAATTTAATTTTCTTCGTGTGTTATAATTACGAATGTTTGAATTTATTACCATAAAAGCCTTGTATTTTTTGATACAGCATGTCACCTCCAATATATACTCAGAAGGCAATGTTAAAACAGTGTAATCTTTAAAAATTTGTCTACATGACATGTGACTACTAATACCACTAATCACTCGAAGAACCCGCTTTTGCAATTTAAAAATGCTTTTACTTTCCCCATCCCCACCCCACAGTAAGATACCATTTCTCATACATGACTCAAAATTCGAAAAATAAATAATTTTTATCATATATGGACTCATTATTTCTTTTAATATTTTCACCATATAAATTAATTTTCATAGCTTTGCTTCTAGAAATTGAGCATGAGCGCACCATTTTAGGGTTTCTATCGTGTGAATTCCAAGAAATCTCAGTTCTGACCGATATACTATTTCTGTATTATTAAAAACTATTTGTGGTCTTAATGGATCTCTCCACTGTTTTGAATGAAATGACATAGCAGATGTCTTTTTAGTATTTATTGTAAGGTTATTTTTTTAACCATATTTCTAATTATTTCACAACGTTCATTATTTTATATTGAAGGTCAAGTTCATCTTTTCCAGTAATTAACAAACTGGTATCGTCTGCATATAAAACCAGCTTTGCTCCTTGAAAATTTTCTGTAAGATCATTAATGTATAGTAAAAATAAAAGCGGCCACAACACTGATCCCTGTGATACACTTTCCTACATGATGAATTTATAACTGGTTTTGACACTGCCGTCAGTGTTTTTTATTTCTACATATTGGAGTCTGTTTGACTGGTAAGACCTGAACCACATGTTTGGCACACCTCTTATGCCATATGAGTCTAGTTTCTCTAATAATATATCATGGTCTATTACGTCATATCCCTTTGATAAATCAAAAAATAATCCTGTGGCATATAGGCCGTTATCTAAGGCCTCCTGCATACGTTCATTGAAAACTGACTTACTGTGTCAGTTGATTTATTCTTTCTGAAGCCATTTTGGGCCTTTGTTAATGTATTATTTTGAATTAAAAAAGGCATTAGCCTATTATACATTAATTTTTCTAATATTTTGGAAAAGGCCGATAAAATGGATATCGGTCTATAGTTTTTAATATCATGATATTCCCCTTTTTTATGCAGAGGTATCACTTCAGCTAATTTTAATCTATCTGGGAAGGTGCCTGAGCTCAATGAGGCACTGGTTCTGATTACATAGAACATCCCCCATTAACTAATTCTAATTAACTGAATATTTTATCTTAATTTTATCAGTATTGTTGGTTACCCCAAATGTTTATGTCTCATATCCAGTCATCTCTTTTATAGATCAATGGACAGTTGAAGAACTGAGCCAGTTAATGCATGTTCCTGCTACAGTGTTGCGGAGGAAGATAGCTTTTTGGCAGTCTCAGGTATTGTAAGAAAATAATAAAGTATTTTGTATGATATCACAATTATGTCAAGTATTCACAGGCCACTGTTCACCTGCTCACAACTTCATGCACCATAATTTAATCAGTTTTGTACTCACACATTTTTAATTGTATACTTACAGTTCCAAAGTATTGCAGATACTCCAGAAGTTCCAAATATTTTATGGAACCTGAAGGCTCATTACTGTGTTCACAAGAGCACTCCACTGGTCCGTATCCTCAGCCAGATCAATCCAGTCCATATCACCCTAAACTATCTCTAAGATCCATTTTAATATTGTTCACTCGCCTATGTCAGTATCTTATATTCATTCCTCTTCTGCTTATTCATCCTACATGCCCTGCCCATCTCATTCTCATTGACTTGATCATGTTATGAAGCTCCTCACTATGCAGTTTTCTCCAATCTCCCATCACTTCAGCTCTCTTCGGTCCAAATATTCTCAGCATCTTGTTCTCAAACACCCTCACTCTGTGTTCCTCCCATAATGTCATTGTTTCTTTTGTCCTATTGCCGTTGTTGTTTCTATTCATGCTAACATTGTAATTGGCAGTTGGCTATTGAGCTCAGCACATAAATAAATAAAGAATTGAATTATAAATATTATTATTATTATTACTTATAATTCCTGCTAAGCTTACTGCCTAGATTTAAGGAATAGAAGTTATAGAGCTGTCATCAGTTGTCCCCAGAACCTGTTGTTATACGTGACTATATTACTATTACATAGCAAGGTAAAAGAAAGGTAAAGCTGTCCCTGTAACAAGCCTTGGAGGCCCACACGGTTGTGAGATGTTGAGGATCCCACATTATCTAGACAATCAACTCACAGATAGCGGTAAGGTTTTCAGCCTTACGCGCTGGCCTCACTTCACCCCTCAGGAAAATTCCTGGTACTCATTTCTGTTAGAGGCTGAGTTGACCCCAGGGCCATAGTGTGGCTGGAAGGATTAGGTCAATTGAAAAAATCCAATGACCTCTTTGGGACTTGAACCCACAACCTTCCAGCTTGTAGCATTGTGCCTCAACCAACCACTCTACCACGTGCCTCTACTATTACATAGTACTTTCACAAAATGTGGAAAGAAGACTGAATCAGCAATGAAAACAAGTCTATGTATATGCTGTTTCAAAGTTCATACCACTGTTTCATCTTTACCAGTATATTGTAGTACATTATTTTATCCAATGGTTGTGATTTTTAGGGCATGCTGCGTGAGGTTTCAACTGACTCATTTCTACTAGTTGAGGAGAGTGCTACACGCTCTAGGTGCCCAGTGGCTCCTGACATGGTGTGTGAAGATGAAGAGACAGAGAGTGCGATGGCTTCAGCCCATGACCAAAGAGAAGAAGAATTACAGGTAATATGAATCATTTCCCTCTGCATTAATCTCCCATCCCACCTTGTAATAATGATAGATTTATTTAATTATATGTTGACTCCACCCCCTCATGTTTGAGAAGGATATATACAGATTTCAGTTTATTGCATGTCCACCCCTAGCTCTGTCATGGTGCAATGTTCAGTTTCCATAACTGATCCCACAAGCTAATGTCTACACAGGTATACATACATACATAGATACATACATACATATACATTTGCGTTTCAGATTATTCACAAATGTGCACAGGCACAGAATATAAAACATGTCAACAAGCCAACAAGACATTGGAAACTTGTACATTCACAAACAAAATCACTAGCATATATAATCCATACTTGTCAAAAAAACACATAAAATTGTTAAAAGGAAATACAGATTGCAGCAAATACACATACAATAGTTAAAAAGCAATACAAATTGCAACAAGTACACATACAATAATTAAAAAGCAATACAAATTGCAGCAAGAATATATAAGCACAGCCAAGGACATTGAGTTAAATGAAGTATATAACATCTAGTGTAATTTGTCTGTCACAGATTCAACTTTGTCTCTTTAGAGCAGATAGAAGCAGTAATGCAAAGATCCTTGCTCACATCATGCCACTTACAGCTAGATTAGTCAGTCTAGTCCCATACAAAAATTATTCAAAGTAACCGAGTTGCTACATGGACCAGTACTGTAGCTTAGAGAGAGGATGGGAGTGAATTGAGATAGGGATGAGCAGCATTGTGTGTCTACAGCTAAGCTTTGGTATTCCCCAAGTGTTGTCACTTGCAATTTGAGTAGGAAAAGGGCACAGACCAGATGGACTGCTCACATTATGGTCTCACAGAAGCAGATAAACGTGATTTTCAGACGGGATTAGTGCAGCTTCCTTGCCTTTTCTCAGGGGTTGGCGGAAGTGATAGAACATTAAGGATGTCCTGGGTGTGATTTTCAGCTCTGATATATGCTTTATGGGTGTGTTTAGAATTAGGGAACTGGCAGACAAAGATACAGATTGAAAATAGAGAAATAAATATTCTAGAAGTGTGACAGTTTTTGTTATGTATATGAGGAACCTGTTAAGAAATAATGTGCATAATATATTTGTGTGTGAATTGGTGTCAGAACATAGTGACCCTCAAACAATTGAACTGCAGGTACATTATTACTATTGCAACAGTGTGATGCATACCCCGATAAAGATTAAAGCAATGTAAAGTAATAAAACTGAGAGTACAATAAGGATGAAGGTGATGGCAGTGATGACAACTGAAATGACAGATTGCTAATATTTTTTCATTTAGGTCTTCTGGTCATACATTGTTGGAATGTTGACAAACTTGGATTTGATGCCATTAGACCGAATCCATCAGATGTTAAAGATGTTTGCATCCCAGGGTCCAACAGCCGTTGAATGTAGTCTTCAAGAATTGCGTCATTTTTTGGATAGGAAGGTGCGGGAGCATAAACTTCTGTTCAGTGGGGGGTTTTACCGCCTTCCGAAGTCATGAATATCAGTGTGCTTGGTAAGTTTTTGTAGTCTAGTTTCTGTGCACATACATTGTTACATGTTTATTGAAGATCGTTGCTGTGTTATGTATGCCTGTGATTTACACAGCTGCTTTTTATGAAACTATTAGTTTAAATGTAAATGTGATGTATTGTTGAAACACGAGAAACATAATAAAGATATTAAGTTATGTACATAGAGGATGTAATTCATAGTATTCCTCTGCACAGTATGAATGACTGTACATATGTTACTGCATAAGCTGTTTATCTTTCATATTGTCATGCTTTAATTATCACTTTCTTTTCAGTAGTAGTAGAACTGGTATTAGTTTTACTTGGTTCATCCTGGTCCATCACACTAGTAATAGTATAAAAGATTTATTAATACTGTCCAGTGTGATTGATAAATGTTTTTTTTTTTTTATCTTTCATCCTCTACATGTTTCAGGTGGAGCAACCATCTTCAGAAGGACATATCGATACATGCGGAAACTACTATTACAATGCGATTGGTCATTATCGATACATAGACACCACTATTACAATGTCATGAATGTAAAATATTAGCCTTTAACAGCTACAGGAATATGCATTAATTTATTAAAATATTTATAAATTATCATAAATAGTTTATTTACATGTATGGTTTAAAACTTTGTTAAAATCTAGAACCAGTTTTATACGTGTCCTTTATACTGCTTCTCTTTAAAGGAAGTTGAGTGTCTACCATGTCATGGTTCCATTGTTTGAATAATAGGACTCTTTAATGTTATTCAGTTGTTGGGCCATGCTGTGTTGTTATAACAACGATTTTTAAAGGTTGTTATTTTATATTCATGACATTGTAATACTGGTATCTGTATGTACTGATAATGACCAATCATATTATAATAGTAGTTTCCACATGTAGTGATATGTCCTTCTGAAGATGGTCGTTCCAACCGAAACATGTCAAGGATGAAAGATTAAAAAAAAAAAAGGAGGAAAAAACATTTATCAATCACACTGAATGGCATTAATAAATCTTTTATACTGGTATTAGACTTGCCTTTCCAAACCATCAGCATTGGTAATGGTGTGGTTCTGATAATTGATAATGCACAAAAACCTATCTGCAATAGTGTCATCTCATGTTACATCTCAGAGCAGTTGTAGCATAGCTGCACCATGGACTTTATTGGTGTCTTGAGTCATAAGCTGTGTACTTGTTTAATGAACTTGATGGTGCTATTAGTGTCAAGACAGAATACCGATCTGCTAGTTGGTATGTAAATAGATGTGTATGAGTTTAGAGACCCAGAATGGGTTGTTAAGATTTAGCGCAGTTTTTAGCACAGTCAAAGCAAGATGGATAATTAAGGGCTTAGTACAAGGTCTGATTATTGTTCACTGTCAAATTATATCTGAGTACATGCAACAGAAATATTTAATTGCTGCCTTGTATGTAGTAGAACTGCTGATACAAAGAATTTTACAGAACACTTGTGGTTTGGTAGCAGGTGATTTATTCTCTCTTCTTGGATATAACACTGTGCTGTCCATTGAAAGTCAATTGACATTTCAGAGGAACATGTTGCCTCCTTATTCAGGGTTGAAAAGTGAGCCGAGCAAGAAACCAGCACGAAGAAGGCAGTAGGCAAATTTCTTTATGAATGCAATTTTGACTTATTACTGTCATTCCCAAATATTTGAACTTGGCCACATTAGCCATCTTTATGTTATGATTTTAGCCTGTATTCTGGTAATGCAATATTAGCATATAGTTCTCTCTGCATTTGCTTCCACTTCATTTCTCTTTGTGGCATTTGTGTTTTCTCTCAGTAAATTGCCATAATTAGCATACACTAGAAACTTGTGTATCCCATTCAGTTTCAGTCACTCCCAAGGGCATATTCTAAAGCAGAGTTGAAAAACAATGTCAATGAAACATATCATTCTTTCAGATGATTCCAACTAGGAAGTGTGTCAGACAAGTGTGTATCTGTATGGACTTTACCTCATGATTTATTTAAATACAGTTTAATTATCCTCATTAGTTTCATGGATATACCAAACCCCGTGAGAATGTTATTCACAGTTACCTCCTGACCAATCCATAGGATTTCTCGAAGTCTGTAAACAGTTAATATTCTGTCCCATTGTCCCCAATTTTTTCTCCAGTCTCTGACAAATGTAAAAACTGTGATTAGTAGTTGAAACCCACAGCAATAATTCCCAATAACTTTGCCTGCATATGGAATTAACCTTGAGAGTATGGTATTGGATAAAATTTTGTTAGAAGTTGATAGCAGGCATATGCCTTGATAATTACCACAGTCAGTTTTATCACAGTTCTTGTAAAGAATGTACAGTGGTAGCCTCCTCCCATTGCTGAGGCTCATCTTCCATATTCCAGATAGAATAGTTCATGGCTCTGAGAATGTTTCAGCTCCTGCTGGAATTTTATCAGTATCTCATTTATACCATTTAAACTTTTCATTAGCAGTTTCAATTTTAAAATGATCGGTCTCAGATGTTAATAGCTGAGCAATATGCATTTTAGTCAGCCTAACAATATTAACCCCATATACATGCAATAGCTGAGAGAAGTAATTGTGCTCTATCAAAATGTTGTGAGAAACCTCAAATCAAATTCCTCATCCCTTACCAAGTTAGTTTCAGGTTCATAACACTTCTTAAATTCATTTATGCCTGCATGCAAGTATTTGGTGTTCTTGTTCTTAATGTTTGTTTCGAGGTTATTGATTTTGTCTGTCAGATATTCCAGCTTTTTGTTCTACATTGTTAAGGTTATCCCTGCTCATGCCTCACATATTACAAACAAGAAAAAAAATCAAGGCAATTCAGGAACAGTCCCATGGTGCTTCTGTAGGTAGAATTTTTGAAAGTTAACATTTTCTGTGCAGAATTCTAATTACATGAAATAAAGTGAAAGGGCATTCTTGCATTCTGAACAAACCTGAAAACAGTGTGTGAACAGAGACTAGCACTGAACAAAAATGGCAGTCAGATTTACAATAGTGTGCTGTTGGATGCGTGATGTGGATGGTTGGTTAAATGGAAATATTCTAGGAATGAGAAAGGATTTATATAAAATGATGCTGGACAAGAAATTGATTGGTCAGAATATATGAGGATGAAATGTAAGTAGGTGTAAATAGACTTAAATGAAAATGTTACAGAACAAAATCAAAATTGGACACTTTTGTCTTTAAACTGGAAAATTGTGCATTGTAATATGAAGGTAACCATTTAAAAAATCATCACTGGATGATAGGTATTCAGAACAATGGAGGTAAGGTATGGTAAAATGGTTCATCACAATGTCCTTCAACATCCAGCATATTCCCGCTTCCTCTTCTCTTCGGGGTGAGCCTGAATGACTGGTGTCTTTGGATTCTCGAAACATACTGCCGACAGGGAAGATATTCGTAGGTGTAAGTTGATGGTCTGAATGGGATGAAAAATAAAATTGGCAAGGGGATACATAAAGAACCATTTTAGTACTGCTGTCTTTATATAAACAAGAAATAATTCCATGTGTATACCAAACTTTCTTGTTAATATTTAAGCCCTTATAGCCCCACATCCCATCCATTGCTGATCCTAAATATATAAGAATACCAAGCATATTCATTACCAATAATATAAATTTCGAAGTAACTAACAAGTATTTGTAAATAGGGCACTTAGTAATGCAAGAGTTGCTAATTAAGGTACATAATGTAATTTGCATGTGGGGCCGAATCAACCAGCTACCCAATGGGTACCAGGGGCTTTTTCTCCCTGGGGTAAAGTGACCGGAGCATGAAACTCTCCGCTCACTTCAAATTAGTACCAAAGATAACATGACTCTTCAAATCCAGTGTCCCATAGGCCTTCACGGCGTACTGCTTAAGTTAAGCACAAAAAACTTGCCGTGTGATGTAATTACATAAAGACATGACCACTGGTATTCAAAATCGATTCATTCATTCATTGTATATTCCATAAATCCATATAGATAGATATAGAACCAGTCACATAGTTAATATAGTACAATACAATTATAAATATATATGTACAGCTTATAATCATTATAATAGATAAAAAAACGTGTTAAATTTAGAGTCTTGCATCACTATACATGAAATTATGAAATATTAAAATTGTTTATGTTAGCCTTATTTCTAGGCAAATTTGTTACTAAAGAATTCATCACATGTATAAAAAGAGTTTTGCAATAAAAATGTTGTCAACTGAATTTAAAATTTTTTCAAGTCATTAGACATAGATTTGATTTTTGGTGGCAAATGATTAAAGATCTTTACCCCCATGTGACATATTCCTTTTTGGAATTGTGTTAGACTAGTTTGCGGATAATGCAGATCACAGATAGATCTGGTACTACAATTATGCATTTTTGAGTTGAATGTGAATAATTCCTTATTTACTATAACAAACAGGGAAATCGACAATATATATTGAGCTTGTAGTGGGAGGATAGCCAATTCTTGAAACCAACTACGACACGATGTTCTCTTTGTTGTATTTGTTATAATCCTAATTATCCTTTTCTGCATCCTAAACACTTCTATACTATGAGGGGAGTTACCCCAGAATATTAATCCATACGTTATTATAGAATGTACATAGGAAAAATACATAATTTTTAATGTCTCCAGTGGTAAAAAGGATTTAACTGATCGTACTGCAAAACAGGATCTGTTTAACTTATCAATTAATGCATCAATATGACTTTCCCATGTTAAAAAATTTCNGCCAATTCTTGAAACCAACTACGACACGATGTTCTCTTTGTTGTATTTGTTATAATCCTAATTATCCTTTTCTGCATCCTAAACACTTCTATACTATGAGGGGAGTTACCCCAGAATATTAATCCATACGTTATTATAGAATGTACATAGGAAAAATACATAATTTTTAATGTCTCCAGTGGTAAAAAGGATTTAACTGATCGTACTGCAAAACAGGATCTGTTTAACTTATCAATTAATGCATCAATATGACTTTCCCATGTTAAAAAATTTCCAATTTTTAATCCCAGAAACAATATATTAGAAATACTTGGAATTTGTTTGTTTAAATAACTAACTTGAACATTTAAGTTTTTACTGTTTTTAGTTCTAAACTGTAGAAAATAAGTTTTTTCATAATTTATTACTAGCACATTTTTCCTAAACCATTCATTTATCATCTCAAATAATTTATTTATTCTAATTTTAAATGTCGCAGGATTCTTATCAAAGATAAGGATACTTGTATCGTCTGCAAATATATTGGTTTGGATAGGTCAGATATAATAGGAATAAAATTATTATAGCAAGTACATTGGAGAATTATTCATATTGGAGGACACGACCGACCCGTAGGACTTCCTTTCAACCCAAGCCCGCGAAATCTATAGTGGTGACCATGGTGACAGATGAGAATGTTTCAGTAACGTGTTACTTGCGTATGCACTAAAGCACTAATCTGTGCTATCCGGTGCTGCCGTTCGGCAACGGTCATAGACGCACTGTGCTACCAGTGTTCATGTGTAGATGGCGAATGCATAATCGTGGGCAATCCGTGATTCATAGTGACCAATAGGACCAATAGTGACTGGTAGTGAGACGTCACATGTCATGAATTGGTTAGGGGGGGGAAGGTCGTTATAGGTTAGAAAGAAGAGTGTGTTTAGTAACTACAGTGTTCTTAATTTTTTCGTTTAAGTAAACAAGTGCATAGTATTCTATGTGTAAGTAACTAGTGTGATGAGAAGCAAAGCGCTGTATGTCTTACGTATCTTGACCTCCCTTTCCTCATGCCCTGTACCCTTTCAGTGTGTCTGACTTCCTAACCTGTCAGTGAATTCTGCCTGAAGTATTTATGGGACTGTCTGTATGAAAACCCTTGACTATGCATTCAGGATAAAATTGCAGAATATGTTTCTGGGGAGCTGAGCCAGTTTAAACCGACATCGGAATTCAGCCCAACAAAATCAAACCATACAATTACGAAAAACAGTTATTCAGGGGTGACGATGTGGTGGAGTTTAGGGACCAAAATAATATTTTAAATGCCTTTTTGGACGTAAAATTAAACCATGATGGGGGTGATTAATTTTACCACATGACCCTATAACTTCCAATTTTCTCTCCACCCCCCCAAGTAAAAAAACAATCTTCCTGTCATTTTTGTATAAATATGAAAATCCTGTGACCTTTTCAAATACTGTAGTTGTGAACAGAAAATTATAATAGGATTTTCTGAAAATAAAGTTTCTTCAGTACTGTAGAAGTCACTTGAGTTGGAAATGGCCATGTTGTGAATTTGAATATTTGTGTGAGCACCTTACAGCCCACCAAAGTGCAGACCCCTTCAAGTGCTGTGCTTACCAACGAACAGTTTTATACCAGCAAATGTGTCAAAAGTAAAAGACATGCATCTGCTGATACTGATTTCAAACTTGGGGCTCAAATTGATCGTGAAAGTAAATGTATTTTAAAAATTGCAGATCATACGTAATACTATGAAATGAAAAGCTTTGAAAGTTAACTTTAATGTTATTTATTTGACAGCAACTGTATTTGCTATGAAAACAAACTACTGAACACAAGAATTTGAAATTTTATATGTGCTACAATAAGATGTGTCTCACATTCTGACGGTTAGGTGAATATGAGTACCAGGCCACAGCATTACTGTCTGAAGTGGAACAACTACCAGAGCTATGTGGCAGAAATATTTACACAGCTCCTCCAGGCAGAATCTATGGTGGATGTGACGTTGTGTGCTGAGGGTCATAAAATACGTGCACATCGTATTGTTCTGTCTGCATGTAGCCCTTACTTTCAGGTATGTTGAATACTGAGAGTTTTGCTGAAAATTGATATTTTGTGTTTGGTGTCACTGTCTCAAATTTCATATCCACTCTCTAGCTCCTAGTTGTCAATCCTTTCCCAAGCATTCTCTCTGTGAATATGTTCTAGGCTACACTGCTTTACTCCTATGTTCTTTGTTTTAGTCATTAATTTTTTATTCTTCCTGCACAATGATTCCATATAGCAGCAAACAAACTACAGTGGTCCACAAAATATTTAGTCAGCCAGCAGCAATATTGAGATAATAATATAGCCCTTACATGAATATTTTATTTCTCATATGTGGAGCAGATATTGTGTTCTCACAACATGTACAAGTTACATTTGGAATCTAGATTTTGGCACTGTATTCAATTGTAATATGCATATTTAAAATCTTAATTTCCTCTTGCACATTTGAGAATGAGAATATTTTAGTGGAGTCCACCTCATATTTGATGTAATCCATGTTATAAGTCCTTAAGACAACCAGACTACAGGTTGTCTATTCTTGATTTTATGCCAAAAGACTGGGTGAGAAAAAACATGCAGAAAGGAGGTACATGCTGGGCAGTTGGTTAAGGGAGGACCCATGTTCTTTCTTTGCCTGACATATCTTTGGTATTCTGTATTACACATGTATATATACAGGTTCCTTTGGTGATTCTGATATAAAAATATTATATCAACATGGGTATGATTCTCAATGGTTACAGAGCTGTGGATAGGGAAAGTCAAGATGATTGGCACATGGCAAACGTGGAATGTAAGCTGCTGGACCCATTGGAAGATGTGCCTCTGGCAACACAGGCATGAATATGCTTCTAACATGATGGCCCACCTCCTGTATATCATTCAGTATACAACACAGTACCTGAATCAGCTTTTTTCCTGATTGTTTTGGTTTTCTGTAGTTGTTAGGGGGAAACATCATTAAATTACAAGAGCAAGGGTCGTTGCAAGCAACAGATTCACTGCATGATAGAAGTAACTTAGAGAGAAACTACATTACTTGCTTCTGTTTCACATGGAAACAAGAATGTTACATGCGAGCATAGTTGACTGTTCAGTGGCTGTATGAGGTGACAGTATATGTGAAAACAAAATATATTAACCTGAAAATAATAAAATAGAACTGAGCCCATAACCTGTTATTTTTGTTCTTTGATTGTAGGAAAGGCTTCTTTGTCATCTTGCCTTCCAGGCATGGAACACATTTCTTACACTGATCTTCTTCTTGAAAATCAATTCCACTAGCTAAACCTTTTTTAAGCAACCGCATGCTAGCCCTATTTAAATGCCCCAAACGCCTGTGCCACAACAGTTCATCAATTTGCTGGGTACCTGGAACTTGTTCATACTTTACAATATTAGTACAAGATCTCTCACATTTGTCATTATTCTCTTTGGTATTAATCTTGTCTTTAGTTGCAATATTTGCATATTGGGTCAAGTTAGCTTTGGTATTTAAACAATAAATCCCATTTTTGGGATATGCTTTGGCAAGAACTTTGCCTGTTACCTCAAAATTATCAGAATCATACAAGTTGCAACAGTCTTTGGTGAATAACACAATCACACCCTTGTTTACAGTTGAGTTCACAGATAACAAATTTGTAGACAATTTTGGTAAATGCAATACATCTGAGATATGGCTAAAATTGTCATTCACAAGTTTTACATCACCAAAACCTGCACTACTGAACACATTATCATCAGCAAGACTTATCTCATGTTCCTTAGAATCATGTGTTTTATAATTTTGCAAAACAGTCTTATTTCAGGTCATATGGTGTGAAGCACCAGCGTCTATTACCCAAGTATCATCCTTAATTTTAACTGGATAGGCAGATACCACATACATGGATTTTTACTGGTCTTATTTTTCCATTTATTTTCGTTATACCTTTGATCGGATCCCTCTTTATTTTCATCAGTACTATTAACTGATTTAGAAGACTGATTGCCCTTAAATTTTTGGTTGTGTTGATTGTTGTGATTATTATTGTTTGCCTTATCCTTATCTTTAAACCAACAGTTTTTGTTTATATGGCCTGGCTTACCACAAATTTGACATTTTGGTGGTTTACGTTTAAACTTATCTCTGGACAGAAAGGCTGAATCTGAATTTGCATTTTTACCAAATTCAGTATCATCCAATAGCTTAGATTTAATGAGCTCACTAGTCAAAATCACATAGGAATTTTCAAGTGCCATACGCATGGAATAATACTCTTTAGTTAAACCCTTTAACATTAAAGCGGCTAATAGCTCATCTTCTATTTTCTTGCCCATTGAGACTAATCTAAGATTTATTGTCATGAAGGCATTAACATATTCCTGCATACTTTTATAGTCCTCAAGTTTCAAAGAGCACAAATCAGTTAAAATACTTATCCAACTATTGACACCCTGTTCTTTGAATGTTCTTTCTGGCGCATCCCAGGCTTCCTTTGCTGTAGTTGTCTGGACTATGTAAGATTTAACTTGGGGCTCCAATGTCTGACAAATGATGGCTCTGGCTTTCTCGTCCTTTTGTTTCTTGAGGGATGCGGGAGTTGTATCTTCTGCAGCATATCCACTGACTGCTGCCCACACAGTTTCAATCACTAGAACATTTTGAATATCAAAGCACCATTCTCTATAATTTTTGCGTCATTTGAGCTTATCAGTATTCGCAAAGGGCTTTGAAGTGGCCATGATTCTGTTTGAGTTGCATGGTGATCATATAGGTCCATTTGATGCCAAACCTTGCACTGATGTTTACAGTCACTTAATAAGCCATAAATGTAAATTAATAAATAGTGAATTAGAATACTAAACTGAGGAAAATGTGAATGAAAAGGAGTGTAACACTGATTTTACTGATTTTGGATCATTGAAATTAAACATTGAGGAAAAACAAATTAAGGAACATTAAATGGTGATTCCACTGCATTTCACAAGTATTTCGAATCAATGTTAGGGCGAAACAGAACGGAAATGTAGGAGCTTTCATAGAGCCACGTGTGATGTGGAAATGGAAGCGAGTTGTCTCGACAGCAGCGTTCTGGCACTATTACAAAAGTTTAATCAACTCCATCCAGTGTGACTGATAAAATGTTTTTTTTCTATCCTTTTTAGTCTTTCATCCTTGACATGTTTCGATCTTAGAGACCATCTTCAGAAGGATATAATTGATTAACCTTTTATAATATTGCTAGTGTGACAGACCAGGGTAAACCGAATCAGATGTCCTGGCACTTTCCTCAACATCACAGTCTTCATGACAGATGATTTACTCTTTTGCAGGATATCCTGACCAATACAGAAGATTCCCATCCCTATATAATTTTAAGTGAAATGAATTCTGATGATGTAAAATCAATTGTTGAGTTCATATATCGTGGAGAGCTAAATGTTGGTGCTGATCGTTTCACATCAGTACTGAAACTAGCTGAAGAATTGCAAATAAGAGGCCTCATGGAAGTGAGTACTAGATATTAAAGAATTTTTCCCCCTGACTTTCATTTGTTACCTGTTGCTATGGAATTTAAAGTACTGTGTGCCTGCCTGCATCCCCCCCTCCATATCCATATTTGTGAAAGTAGATTGCAATTAAGTCAGAAAGAAATAAATTATGTCTGATACACAAGGTACAGTAGAATAAATTAAGTTTTGTTAATAAAATGAGTACCTGTAAACAGAGCACAGTGAGTGCTATACTGTAAAAAATGGATTATTTTTAGCTTAGAAATCTACATTGAGTCAGTCACACTGTACTCCCNCCCCCCCCCACATAGTTGCTTTGTTCAGTTACATAGCAGACTAGAGTTACTAGGTACAGGGTCTCTTATCTGGGAAGCTTGGGACCTAAGCCAAGCTGGATTTTTTGTTCTAAGGCATATGTGACCCGTACGTACTTTTTATTTCTATTGCCACCATTCTCTTTATACTGAGCACATAATGCTTTCCCTCAGGCCTCACACTAGCCACTGAACTTCCTACTGGCCTTTTAGATGTATTTTTGATAAAGAATGGAAATAAATAACCACAGTAATCATAGAAGAAGAAGTGTATGCATGCTACATGCCATTCTGAATTCAGTTTTTGCCATGCCTGTAGGACATTGCAAAATGTGAAAACAGCATATAGCAGTGAATCGTTTAGAGTCTGTTAGAAATTCATATCTTTGTAAGTAAAGTAAACATGGAGGTAATTCAAACATCATTTGCTTACATAATTTTTTATCCTTGCATTTATATACTATATCCGTGGCTTATTGTTAGTAATTAGAGACCATTGTATTATTGTAGTTTCCTTTCCTGTAAAAGGTATGTTATCTATGGCAGTGATTCTCAAACTTTTCTCATTTGCAGTTGACAAGATGTGTAGATTTTCCCAGTAACTGGTGCTTTGGTTGTCATTGAATAGTACAAATATTCTGTGAATCTCATTACTAGTAGCACATCTGACCATGCTTATTTTTTATATCATATATTCACAATTCCAAAATATACGTTAGGGCACATGAAATAATTAAGTAGTCCTAGGTTCAGAGTTCTGTAACAATGCTTAACCTCCCCATATCTGAGGAACATTGTATCCCAAAACTTTGTACCCTTTTTCTTGCCACTTGTCCACTCATACTACTAAATGAAATGAAATGGAGAGGAGAAGGAACAATAACCCAGTCCTGGAGGGTTCTGATGATGTATCACACTTCCTGGACTCTGACTGTCATCTGATATTATAAAAACCTGAACACATTGGTTCAGAAGCTGGATCTTCTCCAACTCTCAGGCAGGAGGTGCCTGCTCAGTTGGGTCTAATAAAAACTGACCCAACTGAGTACAGGAACAGATCCAGTTCCTGAAATGTTGGATCGTGTTTTTCAGAATGAATCTGGAAACTTACTAATACTAAATTTAGTAATGTTCAATGGAAAATATTTGACTGCTAAAAGTAAACTAAAAATGAAGAAGATTTCTGCCTTCTAGGATCTAACACGGCTTTGTCCGTTGAAAGTCAGATAATGTTTCATAAGAACTTCACCTCCATCTTCAGGTTTAAGGATAAAGAGAGCAAGAAAGCTGCTTGAAGCAGGCAGGATGCTAAATGTTGTTTGCTGCCTCCTTCATTTCGGTGGTTTGTTTAGCTTATTCTTCAACACTGAAGATGGACGCAGTATGGTCCTCAAAAACATCAGTGGACTTCATCATATTTCTTCATGAACTCTGCATAACCACTACAGTGAAAACCTAAGATCCTAAAAATGAAGAATGTTGCTGAATAGTAATTTTTAAAATTGCAGTAAAATATTATTTCTGTACTTATCCTGTTCAATGTATTATTAAAAATTCTCATTTTACCAGGTCAGTAACCATTTACCGATATTGGTAAATAAAGATGGTGATGAATCTAATCCAGAACCTCTGTCGTCAACTCCAGCATTGGAAGAAAATCATAACTCAAGCCAGTGTTCAGATACATTGCCTGATATGCCACAGACAGATTCAGTAGATATTTTCATGGAAGTTTCTGAAAATGTGCATGAAGAGCCTTCCACAGAAAGTACAAAATTGGCAAGTAAATTATAGAATTGGTGTTACTTGTTCTGTTGTTTATAGTGCAAAATGTGATGTTGTGTAATGTGGCCTTGCAATTACTTGGATGCAGATGGTGCCTTCATTTGTTCTGATAATATCAGGTTTAATTCAAAATGGTAAACACGAAATGGATGGAGTATGGGCAGCGTGGCTGGGGACTACTTATCAGTAGGGGCAATTCAAAACTGCTCTGAGACTCAACCACCCTCTGACCCATTTAATACTGAAGCTTTTTTCCCTAGGACAAAGCACTGAGAGGGTGAACCTGATCGTTTACCTCTGTCTAAAGCAGTGTTTCTCGACCTTTTGAATCTGGCATCCCATGGGTTATTATTCCAAAAAGCAAAGCCCCGCCATATACCCCATAAAACAAATTTCCTCTTTTTATTTACAAGAAGTGTAGTTTTATGGTTATATGAGTATGTGGTTCCGTATTATATTAGTGATTAATGGAAGGTCTTAATTTTCAAGACTTCATGTCCCACCCAGCTGGCCGTCAAGATCCAAAGGTTGTGGGTCTCTGTGTTCATTCCCCATGTAATACTATGCACAGGGGTAACTTCTATATAATTCAGCTTAAAGTGACAAAAATCATGCCATTATTTTCAGTTCACGCAATACATGCAGGGGCCATAGGCAATTGTCTTGTCTTCTCTTCATTTGAAGACAGTTGGTGACTTATTTCAAAGAATAGTAATAAATGCTATTTAAACGTGAACTAGCAGTCAATAGCAGTCAAGCTGGCTTGATAGTGACATTTCTTTTGCAGGTGCCTGTTTGATTATAAGAGAAACACATTCTAGCCTTGGTAGAAATACGTGGGTTACTTCAAAAGTCATGGCAACATAATTTTTCCGAAATTTCGAAAGCTCCGACCAGAATTTCCAAATTTGCTGCTGAGAGACAGGACCGTATGATTTCTAATGATGCCACTAGATGAAGTGCAAGGACAATTAAGCGAGTCCAGCACGAAGTTAGTGTGATCATAACCTTCATCATGAATGAACGTTAGCCGGCTGGAACAGGGTTGTTACGTGAAAATAGCAGTGCTTCGCGGCAGAAATGCGACTGAATGTCACTCAGAGCTTGTGAAGCTCTCGGTTATCGTGCTCTACCATACAGACTGTTGCAAGGTGGATAGAAGCATTCCACTTGCAACGTAGTGGATGCCCTGTGTCCGTTTGTACCAATGTTTCTTGTGCTGTGATCGCCCAGTGCATGGAGGAAGATAGGCGCTGGTCTCTAAAGGAGTTAGAGAGACATACAGGGATTGACCAGGCAACTATGCATCGAATTTTATGTGACTTACATTCAATTTTTTATTTCTTAATCACAATTGAATTTTTTGAGGATTAAAGAATGAAAATAACAGTCATTCCATAATGTGCAATTTTTCTTGCCTACTATACGTACACCCCTTCACATCTACCTGATCTGACTAAGCCAATCAGAGGGTTATATCATGCCCTTTCATAAGTATATTTTGAACTTTCTTCACTGTAACGTGTTTGCCCAAAAAAAATTAGTTGCCATGACTTTTGAAGTAACCCATGTATAACAATGTGAGTATGTCAGTTTAGTTATTTTCATTGTACAGGTATGTTCTTTTAGGAATCAAAGGAGCACACCCAGTTTGAGAAGAAGGGTGAGGAAGAGAAGAAAAAGAAACACAGAAGAGAAACAAGCAAGAAGTATTACAGGTCAGTAATAGTTGGCATTGAGAATTCTCATTGGTACTGGAGTTGTACACTGCAGGCAGAGTTGATGTACCTTAATGGGATTTTGTTACATGTTTGTACCTTTATATAGCATATTCATTGTTGGTTAGTTGGTTTCCAATGGCAGCATTTGTGATCTTTTAACCATTTTGCTTCTTGCTTCCCAATAGAGACACTCAAGTTCTTGCTTTGTTGCATCTTGAAGAAGTTTGCACTTTTCTTTTGGGAAGCTTTGCCAGATTTACTTAAAATCTAGCCAACAGCCTCATCTATTAATGCTGTTCCTGAGGCACATGATATGTTTCAGCATTTGCATTTGTGCAAAATTTTGAGAGGTTTTCATGAGAGTATATCATGCTAAATGTTGCAAGGTTTCAGGACTTTGTTTCACCATCTGGTATTCTGAACGCTACACAGTGGTTTGAAAATATTCCCATCCTCAGGTGAAAGTATGGGAAGGCATTTACTCATAGAACATTTATTTTATTACATTTTGCTGCATTTGATATTTCAAAGGGCTAGGCTTGCCTATATAAAGAGAGGGAAGCAGTATATATGAGGTCTGAAGTTATGTTCCCCATGTTGGTCCTGTGGATGAATCTTCATGTTTTACCATAGCCTCTTCTGCAAACATTTAGCTTCGTAAAATATACCCATTCTTATTGTTAAATAGTGAAGATATGTTGTTGGCAGCACTAGAGGATTTACGAGCAGGGCGATCTCTTGTGGAAACAGCTGCAGCATATCGCATCCCTCGCTCAACTCTGCATGTGAAAGCTCGAGCACAAGGCATTGCTCTTACCATCACCAGACAGGAACACTCTGGTGAGAGAGTACAAGCAGCAATCCAAGCTGTTGCAGGTATGTTGACTCTCTAATAGCCGGCACTACTTCTATTTTATATTCCTAGCAAGGATTAGCCATCCTGATAGATTTATATTTGTGAGATTTGAGGTTTTCTTGTAAGTGACTATTAAGATTGTCATCTTGTGGGATGTCATGTCATGTCGTCTGGTGAATGTTCTCTGTTGTTTGGGAGGCATGTGATACCTCCATCTTCAGGATTTTACAGTACTCCTAAAAGAAATTTACCCTATTAAAGTATTATATATGAATTATCAATTTTTGCATTAAAATGGTTTATCCTTTTTCTCATTCTTTGCAGAACTTTGCAGTTCATGAAGTTATTGAATATGGTTCAGTGTTTCTAAAATCACATACAGTACAGTGATTTTACTGATAGATTATACATTCCTGAATGAATCGTCATCCTGTATGTACATTACAGCCTTTTCTTTCCACACAACCACTTTCACAAAAGGCCCTAAGTATTTTTTTATCTGCTGGCTGTGACCTTTTCTCTGAATCTCTCTGTGCCTTATTACTAAGTTACAATTTCTTTCTTCTTGTGTCAGAAATTTAATGATATGACTGGAGTTGGGTAAGACTGAGTGCCTTGTACTTCCGCCTCAAGTGAGTTTAGTAAAAATGATGGTGAGTATAAAGCACTGGTGGAATGATTTGCAAGGAAAACCAAAGTTCCCACGAAAGAGATCTGCTGCATTGTTACTTTAACCATGACTAGTCTGATATGAACTGTCTTGAACTTGAATGTAGGCTCCATAGCAAGGAACCATGACTATCCATGACTGAAATATGTCTCTGTCACAAGTGTTCATCTATCTCTTGATGCACGTTACACAGCATAGGTAAGGCTCAAATCATCAATTTTTTTCCATGTTCAGTGACATCAGCTTTTTGTACAAGTTATACCATTTCATCCCGCTCCTTGTCCTAACTCTCTTTTCTTTACTTATGAAAGTGTTGTTTTTGCAGATGGTGCAAGTTTGCAGCAAGCAGCTGATCTCTTTAAGATTCCAAAGACAGTGCTTTGGCGACGTGTGCAGAAGGAAATTGGGAGTTATGCAATGAGTTTTCGAGCAAAGCTGAAGCAGTCATATGGTTCAGATAAGAAGCAGGCGGCAGTAAAGGCATTGGAAAGGGGAGAGAACCTCACTAAGGTGTCACACCAGTTTCAGGTGATCATGCGCACTCTTTTGTAATCTTGTTATTGTTAAAAATACTGTCACATGTTGGATATATGTCACGTGACAAGTAACTTCACTCCTTATTTGATATAGTGAATTTATTCAACATTTGCTCTTACAATTACACAATTTACAATCACACAAGTACTGCCATTTGCAGTATCACAGTTACATCTTCTGATGTGGTCCTTTCCATTCACTCGATGCAACTCAACTCATAGCTGCTGGACTTCACTGGACTCGGCGACTGCTACAATTCAACTGACTGATTAATCGTTACTCACTAGTAACGCACTCTCTCTAGTAACTGGCTCGATACTCACTCGTAACTGGTTCAGTACTCACTAGTGTTCGCTGCACCATATTTAGCCTCGGCACGGACAACACCGAGAACAGTTACATGATAGGTACCGCTGTTGCATGATGCCGTGTTTACAGGTTGCCTAGCAATGCTGTCGAGAGTTGTTTAGTGCTGTGTAGTAACTGCGGTATCCCTTGTTATGTCACCGCGGCAATGGTTGCCTGACACAGTTGCTCCTCTGTTATGCCACCACGGGGAAGGGGGTGTTTACCAAGAGTTGCACACTGATGGAAAAAGTGGGGATATATGACGTCACTCACGAGATCGCAGAGTTCACTTGACCCCTACTTCCCGTTGTGCCATCCATGTCACACTGCTCTCTTCTAAAGGTTGTTCGTCCCGAACAGCCTAACAGTACTTCCACGTTCGTTTTTCTTCCCGTTGTCCGTTTTCCAACCGCTACATCCGCTCATTCTCTAAGACCAGCTCGTCTCAAGTGGTCTCCTGCTAACATGCCAGAAGACCCAGTTGTGTCACATTCACTCCTCACATTCAGTCTGTCCTCATTCATACCAGGGAAGCCGGCATTTCTACATTACCGGTTCCTCCTCTATTCATTGTTTTCTTTTCCATTTCGGAAGGGGTCGACCCCTCCACAGTGTCCACTTTTTGTGTTCTGTAATCTGCTGGAAATCTCTACTGCTTGTTGCCCGATATCCAGGCCTAGGGTCTTCCTGAGGGTTCGGCTGGCTGTTCTCGAGTTCCCAGGATGCAGCCGCTGTCTTGTGTATTCATTCTTCACTCCAATGCTGCCCTTCGGTTCCACCTGAAGTCTCCGCCCTCTGAGGGCTCCTCTTGCAACGTTGTTCATAGTCTGGTTGTTCTTGATGATGTGTCCCTTGCGTCGTGCCACTCCTGCATGGCAGGACATCCTGCCAGGAGTGGTGACATATTTCTTCTGGCACCCATCCTGACTTTGGGTCCATTCTTTCTTGAAGGCATCTCTCCTACATCATGCCACTGTTGCATGGTGGGATACCTTCCTGCAGGCGGAGTCAACTTCCTCCGGGATCCACAAATTCCTCGGGTCAGTACCTTTGGCTCCTTGCATTGCTCTGCAGCTTGCTTCTTGCCCCTATACCGCCTCTTCCGTTCTTTGACCAGTTGCACAATGGCATCTTCCTTGGGGACTTCTTGTTCTGCCGCCTCGGGTTTCCTATCCAGTGAGGTCGGCTCTACTTCTTTTATACATGCCTCCATCTCTTGGCAGGCTATTGTCTTTACGTCTCTTTCTGGTTTGATTACAGCCATCATCTCCTTGTGGTTTGTGCCCATATTTTCTCGAATGGCGGCTGTCCTTACTTTGATGGCTCTCATTTCTACTCAGAAGGCTTCTCTTTCTGCGGCCATCTCTTCTCGCCAGGTTTTGGAGTCTGCGTCCATTTTCGCCAGCAAGCATTAGATCATTTGTTCCATCTCCATCATGGGAGTATAATAGTCGATGCACTCGTAAATTTGATTATTCGTCGAGGCATGTTCAAGTTCGTAAAGCACTTCTGACACCAAATTGTCACTTGTTGGGTGTATGTCATGCAACAGGTAACTTCATGCCTTATTTGATATCGTGAATTTATTGAACACTCGCTCTCACAATCACATAATTTACAATCTCACAATTACTGCCATCGGCAGTATCACAAATACTTCTCCTGTAGTCACTTCCATGCACTCGATACAACTCAACTTGTCAACTGCTAGATTGCAACTGACTGGTTACTCGTTACTTACTAGTAACTTACTCACTCATAACTGGCTCAATCCTCACTCACTGCTGAATAGTGTTCACTGCTCCTTATTTAGCCTTGGCACAGACAACACAGAAAGCAGTTAATGTGATAGGTACCGCTGTTGCGTGACGCCGTGTTTACAATTTGCCAAGCAACACTGTCGAGAGTTGTTTACTGCTGTGTAGTAATTGCGGTATCCCTTGTTATGTCACTGCGACAATGGTTGCCTGACACAGTTGCTCCTCTGTTACACCACTGCAAGGGAGGGGGTTGTTTACTGAGCATTTCACACTGATGGAAATAGTGAGTGTATGTGACGTCACTCACGAGACCACAGAGTTCACGCGACCCCCACTTCCCGTTGCGCCATCCACGTCACAATACTATTTTTAAGGATGAGTATTTCCTCTCCCTTTAGTTATATGTTGAGGGCATGTGGTAGCGTAGTTGGTTGAGGCACTATGCTACAAGCCATAAGGTCATGGGTTCAGGTCCCGATGAGGTCACTGGATTTTTTTCAATTGACCTAATCCTTCCAGCCACACTCTGCCCTGGGGTCGACTCAAGTCTGTAACAGAAATGAGTACCAGGAATTTTCCTGTGTGTGGGGGGGGGGTAAAGTGTGGCTGGCGCATAAGACTGACAACCTTACCACCATCTTTGAGCTGATTGTCTAGATCAGTGCTTCTCAACTGCTGGGCCGTGGCCCAGTAGTGGGCCCTGGCATCACTTATACTGGGCCATGAGAGACTCTTCTGGAGTTTGTCATTTTCATTTCTAAGCATTTTTCATGAATAAATATTTAATAGTGGAAATATTCTGAGGAGAATAATACCTTTGTCAAGNCCTCTTCTTCATCATCCTCCTCCTCTTCCTCTTCTTCCTCCTCCTCCTCCTCTTCTTCCTCCTCCTCTTCTTCCTCTTCATCCTCTTCTTCTTTTTTATTTTATTTTTTTTTAAGTTGTGTGTTTAGATTGTCCCCTAAAATAATGTGTGGCTATTTTCATGTCCTCTCCAATATGTCATTCATGGTCCTTCTCTTATATGACAGCATATAAACTACTCTGTTCTAAAACAGCATTAAATAATCAAAGAATTAATATATCACAGTACATTTATGATGTTATTTTGGCCCCTTGTTGCTTAAATTCCACCATCAGTTGTTCTCAGCTTTCTGGCAGACAGCATTCATTTAAACTTGTTGAGCTTGTTTAGTGACTGTATGTGCATCCACAGCTTCCACTGCTCTTTGGTTTCAACATTCACAGATGAAACCCAGGTTTTATCATTTGTTACTTGCTTCATGTGATTGAGAAATTCATCACTGTCCTTGTGTTATCACTCTAAAAAAGTCTACAATAGTTGAAGCCATTCTCTGTGTTTTGTGCACACCCCTGCACATTTTTGGACCTCATCTTGCACCAAACTTGTGACAGCCTAGCCTAACTGTGTTAATCTTGTAGCGAACAGTGTGTGAAATTTGTGGAAATTCACACCAAAGTTCTGAAATTGTGAAGCACTGTCTTTCACAAATTTTATGGTCAACACTGTGAACAAGATCATCACTCACTACAGACAGCTGACCGCTTCACTCTTCATTGTGAACATTTGTTCATCCAGCTTTGAACATTCTAGACAATTATCTCACAGCTGACAGCTGTATCTGAAGCAAATAAATTTATTTTGCTTGTAGATACCAAAGACAACTTTGTTTCGTGAAAAGGCACGTTTGGTAGAAGCTGGAAGGCTTCCATGGACATGTCTGCGAAAGCGGGATCCTGATATCGGAGGCTTCAAGCAGCACAGACTCAGCGAAGCCGTGGCAGCCTGTAAAGAGGGAAAGATGTCGCAGGCAGTGGCTTCTGTTACCTTCCAGGTACAAGAAGATCCCTTTGGATTTTAAAAACCAGGCACAGAAGTTATCTGGCCTCTCCCATTTTCAATGTCAAAGATTATGGTCATCCTAGTCAAGTTTCTCTTCTCATGAACAAATTTGGATACTATTTCCGTATAATAAATTTATTCTAAAGTAGACTTTGTACATCAGGACTACCAGTTAATATGAAAAATTTTGAAAAGGATATCCAGCGAAGTCTCATCCAATAAATGCTAGTGTCTGACCAAGATACTATGTAGGTTGAAAGAGTGTGTCCATTACAATTTCACCACTTCAAAATATTTACCAATAAAACACTTAGCAGTGACAGTGTGAGAGAGGTTTATGAAACTTAGATAGCATACAGCAAGTTATTTTGATGCCTTGTTTCCTATAAGAATATAAAACGTAGCCAAAAGAGTAAATAAAAAGTTATGTATGGTCTAGTGATACATGAAGCATGATCATGAAATGTTAAGTAGGCTGCACACCGGCATGCGTCAAGACATAACAGCCAAGATAAAATGTCTGCGACATGACGCAAAGAAAGGGGCACAGTTGAAACGAATGAGATTAAAACTGCCACACACCAGTCAGAGTCTTGATGCTTACATCAGCTTCATGCTGACAAATCTCGAATGAAGACTGCGTCTTTTGTCTCATGTCTTGATGCTTGTCTTGACGCAGTTGGTGTTGCGGCCGCCCTTAGGATTCATAGATTTATAATACTTGATAAAATTTTTGACCACTCCCCTCCTCCTGTAAAGAATACTCTATGGATGCTTCAGGTTCCTAAAACTACAATATGGCGGAAGCTTCAGCAGAGTTCAAGGTCAGAATTACCAGAACGTGAGGAGAATGAAGCTGATACTGCTGCAGCCCAACTGCAGGAACGCACAGAATTTGCATTTAGCGAGGTTCGGCACAGAAATAATGATTTATATAAAGTCATAGTTGGCCGCGCCATAGATCAAGCGGCTAGTTGCTGGCTTCCGACCGTGGCAGCCTGGGTTCGATCCTGGGTCTGATCAAGTGGCATTTGTGGTGGACAAAGTGGCGTTGCGGCAGGTTTTCTCCAAGTACTTCGGTTTCCCTGCCAATCTCCATTCCACCAATTGCTCCACAATCACCCTCACCTATCATCTGGGGCTGATACAGTAGGCCAGAAGTGGCCTGAGTGCAAGGGACTTGGCCCCACCCCACTAGCATTAAAAAAGTCATAATTCAAACTGAAATTTATATGATTGTGTAAATATGTGTATTTTTTCAGGATATGAATATGTACATTCTTAAATAATCACCCAAAGCATAATGTCATCTGATGCAGGCCCATCATATTTTGCACTACATGGGATGGACATTTTTTGTTGGAAAATTCACCCTGAAATTCCTTTGTATCTTTTGTGGTCAAAAAATGTAGCCTGACAAATGAATTAAATTAATTTCATCTGATGTAAGGTGGTCTTTCTCAGAATTTGCTCCCTGTCTTTGGAAAGGTAAAAAAAATAATTGTTTTGTCTGATGTTGAGCTATACAAATCTCCTTTCATAGTCTGTTGCATTAATTTGATAGAAGCAATGTACAGTATTTATACATGTGTTCACCCCACTTGCAAACTTGTCTTTTCAGAAGTACGTCTTCTGGAGTTGCTCATGTTATGGTACTCATCCTGTTGTATGTTCTATGTAAATTTGCAATTGGAACATAATGGTACAAATCAGAAGACATTTTTACACGTGAGGATATAACAACGCATATGTGTAAAAATGGAAACAGTTTGCTATATATATATATATTTTTATGTTGCAGGTTTCAACACAAATTCCAGTCACTTACATCGATGAATCAGACTTCTCTGAAGCTTCTCTTATCATTCTCACTACTGGCGGCAGTGAAAGCATGGAAGAGCAGATTATAGTCAATAGGGTGAGTTGAGTACCACCCTGCAATGCTTAGGGATTTAGTGAAGAAGTTTGCTTCCTTACCTCTCATCACACTTCTTGGGTCATTTCTTCTTCAGCCAGTGTTTCCACTTTCATGTGTACCACCTGACAACCAAGCCTCTTCGTTTATGTCCATCTTCCGAAAACTTCTCTCATGTTTTTCCTCCCCATCCATGACATCTTACCTAAGCTGTTGTTCCCATTTTCCTCTATTTTTCTCTTTATCTCGGAAACACATACCTCTCTTCGTCTGTCTTTAGGAAATAACACATTTATTCCATTATGAGCCAATAGTATGAGCATGGATTACATCATATCCCATTTTTATAGGCAGATTTTATGTGTTTACTGGTAGAAATAAAACTGCCAGCTGTCAAAAATTGCCTTTCATCCATGTGTTTTTATTGCTCTTACATTGGCATGACATGTTTTACAGGTTCAAAGCAGTGTGAGGATAGCTTTGCCACATATGCATAGTAGTACAATTTTGTTTGCTTATTTAGGGCATTGTAAGTATCCAGTGTAACACTGAAAACCGACAGTTTATTCAAAGCAGTTTCAAATATGTTAGTAGTTCGGCCCTCAGCAGCATTTGCGTTCCCATTCAATACAGTAGGTAACTGCATAATGTATAATTACTTTATGTTTACCAGGATGCCATACCTGATGAAAGCCAAGTATCCAAGAACCATCCGGCAAAAGAAGTGTCTTTAGCAACGAATGGCTCCAACCAGAATGCTGATTCAGTTACATAATGCAGAGTTCCTGACTGACAGTTGCTCAAGACTAGTAAATTCAGAATAAGACATATGAAAGCCCTTGTGTTCTCAGCATACTCCTGTATGATATTATAAAAAAGTTAACTACTCCATGAAGATGTATGGGGGAATGGATGTATAGATCCATGCATTCGTGACCTCAGCACAAGTTGGAGGTGAGTGGTCAGCTTCACGCCCTGGTTACTTTACTTCCCAGGAAAAAGCATCCTGTACACATCGGATAGGAAGCTGGATGGGCCCTAGAGCATGGACAGCGTGGAGAGGAGAAAAGTCTTGCCTCTACAAGGACTCAAACTCCAACCCCTTGGCCATCCAGTCCATAACCAGTCGCCATACTGACTACACTGGCCCAGCTCATGATTGATACTATTAATCTGAATCTTATTCCTGTTAAACTTGGTAAACACATGCCTGTTACATATGTAAATTGGATTAAATAATAAATTTTGTACACATAAAGCACTTTGTAACATTTTTAGTTGGCCTCTTTACATTATTTACACTTTTTCCAGCTGACCTCTGTTATAAAACTAGTTATGCATGTCTCAGTTTCAATTTCCATGCTGATGCATTGCGACTGATAATAGCATAATATGTAGAAACGGATGGATTATTTAATGTTCACCATTATTCCATACCTAATGAAGGCAAAGTATCCAGGAAGTGCCCAGTGAAAGAGGTGTCTTCAGTAATGAATAACTATGGCTGTTTCAGCTATGTGGTGCCTCTTCTTGGCATTGCTTTGTTTTGTAATACCATATATTAATTATTTATGATGGTTAAAGTACTTAGTTGCACTATAAAATTGATCACGTCAGTAGATTGTTTCGTTGAACTGACCTCAAAGGCGGAAATTAAACTGGTAAATGTGATGGGCATGTAACACAGTCTCTCAATAACTTCCATACATTTGCCAATATTTCAGCATTTGACGAGGCCAGATAAACATTTTTTTGAGTTTATAAGAATATCCAATTTAAAATCAGCTCCTTTCCAGTCTCACATTAGTGTATTGCCATATCAGATGCTAAATATATAGGGAAGGGGCACACTGTAGCGTAGTGGTTGAGGCACTATGCTACAAGCCGGAAGGTTGTGGGTTGAAGTCCAAATGAGGTCATTGGATTTTAATCCTTTCAGTCGCACTATGGCCCTGGGTTCTACTCGGCCTCTAACAGAAATGAGTACCAGTTATTAATTAAATAATTTTCCTGGGGAGTAGAAGAGGCCGGCACGTAAAGCTGGCAACCTTACCGCTATCTTTGAGCTGATTGTCTAGATAATGTGGGACCCTCAACGTCTCACAACCGTATGGGCCTTCACGGCCTCTTCCAGGGATAGCTTTACTTTTTTTTTTAATATTTAGGGAAAGGGAGCAGGTGATTAGTTCTTCCCAGAACTTTTTGTTCAGAATAAGGAAAACAGGCTAAAAATGGGTATAGCATAATGGCCAGATGCTTTCTTATTCCTTCCAGAGTCCATACGAAATAAGTTTCGCCAGTATGGCTATCCAAACTCAGTTACCAGCACCCCCATAATTGTTGGTTTGTACTGATTTCAAATCCACGAATTGGCAAGCCATTCTCAGTTCATTTAATTACCAGTCAGTACTGGTCAAAGGAAATCTTATAATGGAAGTCCCTTCCTCTACTGACAGTAAAATGAGAATTTCTTCAGGCTGATATAAGTAGCTGGTTACCATAGTCTGTTTGGCAGACTGATTTCATGATACAGGACCTTTTTTGAACAGCTGACAGTCTTTTAGCTGCTGAAGAAATATCCTGCTTTTCAGAACCTGAGGGCTCAGTTTTACATGATTAGCTTTATCCAGTTCACATCTTCGTGCACCAAACCAACCAGGAGACTTTGAGCTTGTAGCCAAATGAGTCATGATGTTCAGTGGAAGGTGAGCAGGGAATGCTCAACAAATATTATTTCCAGGTTGGGTAATGCCCAGGTTGGATACCATTGATAATAAATTACATTTGGTATAATGAAATCCAATAATTGTCACCAAGAAATATCATCTCATACAGAAATGTGAGTGTGAGGAAAATAATTCCAGGATATTTTTTTCTAGAAATAAATTATTCATTAAATATACTATGTAGAGTAATTGAGATGAGGCAGTGCAACAGTGAAGAATTTTCAGCATTTAATTTTTTGAGGATGCAGTGTGGAGACAAAATGATTTCACATCACTTCTTTGTGTCGATCCTTAACTCAGTAAGCATTCCGTATGGTTTTAAATTATATTATCGTGAAGTGAAAACTATATTATTTGTATCTGTTTATCCATCAACAGATGATGTTATGGTCTAGAACCCAGTACATGTATGCAGCCATGACTTAGTACTGTAAAAAAGAATAAAAGTAAGAAGTAAAGCTATCCCTGTACCAGGCCATGAAGGCCAATATGGTTGTGAGACGAGGGTCCCACATTATCTAGACAATCGGCTCAAAGATGGCGGTAAGGTTGTCAGCCTTATGCGCCGGCTGCGCTTTGCTCCCCAGGAAAATTATTTAATTAATTCCTGGTACTCATTTCTGTTAGAGGCTGAGTCAACCCCAGGGCCATAGTGCGGCTGGAAGGATTAGGTTAATTGAAAAAAACCCAATGACCTCATTGGGACTTGAACCTGCGACCTTCCGGCTTGTAGCATAGTGCCTCAACCAACTACGCTACCTCATGCCCCTGACTTAGTACTGTATCTTATAAAATATGCGACATCTTGGGCAAGTGAAACTGGTTGATACGCCAGAGATCTTTTTTTGCCTTTTCCTCCAGTTTGTATCTCATAAATGGTTAGAAGGAAATGAAGATGACAGGAATAATTTTTACCAAGCTGCTGAAGAAAATACTTGTTACATTCCAAATTTTATTTTCAAGGTGCTTATTAAGAAAATCCATGAGCAAATTTTGCCTTTGAAATGATTAGCCTGAGAGAAAGGTGGTAGAAAACGAACGTGTTAATTCATATTGATGTTGACCCACTGTTTTAACCACATGGAATTGTTATATTTCAGGAGACATTACATTTTCAGTGGTGCATGCTACCTACATGGTGGAGGCAGCATGTATCTAAGAAACAGCTACACCTTGCACTTCATGTAGTGCGTATACTCAAGAGCAGGCTCATATGGTATTCAGGGAATTTATCAAATACATGTGCTATTTCATCATATAAGCTATCCTTCAAGTATACTTGATGTCTCATCCACGATATGTATGTAATGGCCGTCTTGTAGTGCACTCAATTTCATATGTCACTTCTTACTACATGTTTCGGCAACATAGTGCCATCTTCAGGTTCATTATTTACGTTAAGCTATTACATTGTTTGCCATCTTGTGTCTTTCATAAAATTATTTAGAAAGTACATTATTTGTCAACTATAATAAAATTTGTATATGCTACAACTTGTTAAGATTATTCATCTATATGTCTTAATTCAAACTTGCGTATAGTATGGTTCCTGCACTATGGGAGTCATTTCTGTGTGTCTTGTGTCTGTGATGTGTCCTTCCTTTTTTATGAACCAAGGAGATGCTTTATCGCCACTCCTCTTCAACTTTGCTTTAGAATATGCCATTAGGAAGGTCCAGGGAAACCAGGTGGGACTGAAATTAAATGGACACATCAGCTGTTGGTCTACGACGATGATGTGAATCTACTGGGTGATAATGTAGATACCATAAAGAGAAACAAACTTTAATTGACGCAAGTAAAGAGGTTGGTCTAGAAGTAAACAATGAGAAAACTAAGTACAGTAGAACTTGGTTATAACGTCAACAAAGGGACCTAAAAATAGTGTCGTTATAAACGAATGTCGTTGTAACCGAAATGGGCACTTCCGCAGTAGCCTTATGTTAGTCACGTAAAAATCTACCAAAAACCGAGTTAAAATGTTACATTTTTTTAGTGAAATACGTAGTTAAGTACAGACTAACGTAACATTAACGTGGAATTGCCCAAATGTGTAATATCAAAGATGTATTACAGCGCTTTTCACTGACAATACACACAATATTTCACGAATCACTTTAACTTTCCCTTCAATGCTTAAAACTTTCCTTTTCATTGCCATGTTTTCGCTACTGCACTTCTCTGGGTTTAGGCAGGAACACTATAGGGTAAGTAGACAATGTGAGGTCCTGTTAGNAAAACAGTTGCTTTATGAGGAATTAGTTCGTACCATTGAATATTATACGCAATAGACAAGGTGTCGCAGAAACCGATGTTGCTATAACCAAGTTTTACTGTATATTTTTCATTTTGTTTCATTTCATGCATCCTGTTCTATTACAATATACAACCTCTTTATTACAACTGTCACAGGACAACAAATATCAAGATCAGTGCCTAGTTTCGGCTATCAATAGCCATCGTCAGGCAAATACGTGGTTAAAATATTTACACCACTGAATTGAAGTACCAATTTGTCCGTGGGAACACAACGAAATTACAAAACAAACGACTGATTCGATGATATAAAACATCAATCTAAGAATTTTATTCTTGTTTTATACTATAACTTCTGATTTATTGTATTTTTATGTCAAGTGTTTTGTATAGTTACTTGTATTGTATCCAATTTTACTAGTACTGCAGTTCAGTGGTGTATATATGTTAACCGTGTATTTGCCTGATGATGGTTATTGATAGCCGAAACATGTAGCAGAGCCAAAACTAGGCACTGATCTTGATATTTGTTGTGTTGTGACGGTTGTAATAAAGAGGTTGTAACTAAGTATATGTTACTGTCTCATCACCAAAATGGAGGACAAAATCTTGACATAAAGATAGGAAACAGATGTTTTGAAAATGTGGCACAGTTCAGATATTTGGGAACAACAATAACAGATTGGAACCTGATTCAGGAGGAAATCAAGAGACAATTGAACTCAGGTAATGCTTGCTACCATTCAGTCCAGAACCTTTTGTCTTCTAGTCTGTTGTCCAAAAACATAACAATTAGAATATACAAAACTATAATTTTGCCTGTGGTTCTGTATGTGTGTGAAACTTGGTCTCTGACATTAAGGGAGGAACATAGACTGAGGGTGTTTGAGAACAAGGTGTTGAAAATATTTGGACCGAAGAGAGATGAAGGGACAGGAGGTTGGAGAAAACTGCATAATGAGGAACTTCATAATGTAACTGTCCAGTTTATGGGAAGGTCAGTTGATGTTTGTGTATGGTTAGGGTTTTGTGAAATTCCTCACTTTCGCCTCACAATTTGGAATTTTCCCCCTTGAGACATGCAGCAAGTGGCTTGGGTCAAGCTTGAAGCCAGCTGCCCTTTCGTAAACCAGTCAATTTAATGAGTAAAACAAGGCCGAGTCCTTTAGAAATTCTAAACTTGACAGGGGAAGTCATAAATTTAGCAGCGTCGTTTCCTGCTANCGCCCTGTGGTAACTATTAAGTGTGCGTCCCCAGAACAGTAAGTAAGCCTACATCCACGAATCTGTGAAGTGTACCCCTACGGTGCTGTTTTATTTAATTAGTGCAAATTTAATAAAGACTCCATACAGTTAATTGGTGTTGTGGTGATTTCCCTACGCCTAAAGCCCCACTAATCACCCAAGTCGTGGCCAATCAACACGCCCTGAAAGGAATCGAATTGCTCTACCGGAGCTAGCAGAACCGAAGAAAAACGGTTACAATAACTTGTACTCTTCTCCAAGTATAATTAGAATGATCAAGTCAAGGAGGATGAGGTGGGCAGGTCATGTAGCAAGAATGGGAGAGATGAGGAATGCGTATAGGATATTGGTGGGAAAGCCAGAAGGAAAGAGCCACAGGGAAGACCAAGGCGTAGGTGGGTGGACAATATTAGAATGGATCTTAGAGAGACAGGATGGGATGGTGTGGATTGGATAGATCTGGCTCAGGATAGGGGCCAGTGGAGGGCTCTTGTGAACACAGTAATGAACCTTTGGGTTCCATAAAATGCTGGAAAATTCATGAGTAGCTGCAGAATTCGTGGCTCCTCCAGAAGGGCTCAGCTGCATGAGGAAGTAAGTAAGTAAGTAAGCTGTCCTTCATATCATCAGTTTTATCCTCTTTTGGGTCGTGAACATTCAGAACAATGATATCACACCAGTGACTTCTTTGTATGTATGACTTCCTATCACTAACTTTACAAAAAATCTGTATGTACTTCATGATTTTCAGTCCCTTTTCCATATAAAAATGTATATTCGCCTGCTGATTCGGTGCCACCTCTGTCCCATCTGACCTCCTATATTCCCACTAAATCTAACTTATATTTTGCTTTTCTCTTCACAGCTCTCATGAGCGAACCTGCCCTATTCAGATTCCTGACATTCCATGTACCAAATCTTACATCAATTTTCCTTAGCTTGGGTCATTTAATCAGAGAATTTGTCCAAGTCTGAGGATTTTTTGTGACAATCCATAACAAGCTTATTTTTTGCAACAAGAAGTTGTTAGCCCTACACCCAACTCCTCAGCTGGAGCATCACCCCTTGTTGGCTGTCTGAGGCTGCTTATTCATTACATTCACAGCTACCTTCCACATCTGGAGGCTGTCACCTTCATCCACAATCTGTGGATGCACCATGCCATGGTGACAAGGAACCCACTTAACATGGCTTGTACCCTTCAGCCTGTATAATTAGAATGATCAAGTCAAGGAGGATGAGATGACCAGGGCATATAGCATGAATGTGGGTGAAGAGGAACGCATATAGTATTTTGGTTGGAAAGCCAGAAGGATAGAGACCACTAGAAAGGCCATGACGTAGGCGGGTGGACAATATTAATATTAAATATTAAAAGGGACGGGATAGGATGCACTGGTGTGCTGTGGACTGGATTGATCTGGCTCAAGACAGCGACCAGTGGAGGGCTTATGTGAGAGCTGTAATGAAGCTTCGTGTTTCCTAACATGTTAGTAAATTTCTTAGTAGCTGCACATATGGCGGCTTCACAAGAAGGGCTCAACCCCATGAAGTTGGCCAATTCCCTGATACATCTACAATATACCATTTGATCACATTTTTTGTCTTCGGGCTATTTAAAATATTTTGACCTAGATGGCAATAGCCGACAATAGCGTTGTTCTGAAACTATGACGTCATCGGGTACGTCATTCACGGGGTAACGTAGGCAACGTACGTTTCCGTTCAGCAGATTAGAGGAGGGGTTTTGTAGTGAAAATTGTGCTGTGATTATTTATCTCTTGTGAGAAGATCATCTGTAATTTTTGCAGTTTGCAGGTGTATACTGAAAGGTGACATATCTTATTTGTCGTATGTCCATCCAGAATCTGAACACATTCGGTGAGTTTATTTTAATTTAATGTAATGTGCAGTAGTGATTGTTGGTTGATCCCAACAAAATGGCAGCTGAGTTGTTTTTGGGTGTGTGTAAAGTTACGTGTATTTGCGACCTTTCCTGTCTGTAAAGTAAGAAGGTAAAATAAATTGTATTTATAAAAGGCCAAAAATACCGAATCACAGTTCCAAAACATTTTACTACTAATCTGGATTACTGCGCGCCAGAAGGAATTGTGCAATTCTAATAAGGCCGTTGCCCTAATTTTTTAATCATGATGAATATGCATTATATTTTTCATTGTGGATTGCATGTTGAAAGCACCAGGATGTACAAAGAAATTAAGTACTGCTGATTAAACGATAAAAGTATTACATGTTACGAATTTGGTTCCAAGGACGCTGCTGGTTTTGCGTCTTAACAAAGTAGCCATTATGGTCGTCATGGTGACTTCCTGTCTCTTGAAAGTACCTTGCACTTTACGATTGTTCGACCGTATGTTTATAATCTTACACCCATCTGCAGTAGATTATATTGGCTTGTTATAAATCGATATAAAATAGAAATTAATTGTCGCCTTTGAAAGCTTGTTTGGTAGTTAAACTAAGCCTCCTTTTCCTGTTGTTAGTACTTTATAATAGGGTCAGGCCAGGTCTGTACCATTTGCTGATGTACCAGAGTAGAGCGGGAACATTTGTGAACGATTAAGGCATATAATAGCAATTAAGTTTCCCTTTCGCGTAATGGTTATGCGCTAAAGACAGAATCAGAACCAACTTCCGCATTCTTCTCATCTCTTGCCCTCGTAGGACCTCCAGCTGCACTCATACATGAAGGGTTACCAGCACTCTTACTTCACATTTGGGTTCAAGTAACCATAAAATTATATGAAGTCATCAACAATTCCACTTGGATATGTAGGAAATTATTAACCAAATTTAAACTTCAGCGTTAACCTAACCTAACACAAATCCTCACATATCATGTACTCATATGAGTTAATGTGCCACTTACCTAATTTCTTCATGAACTTCACTTTTTCCTAGGTTTATATACCATTATCTGTTGTATTGATGGTATTTTGTTTTTCATTATTCCATGTTTTCTCCAGGAAGTAATTTTGCATACATTTGGTGATTGATTGAGTGTTCTTTTAAAGTATCATAGTATAACTTATGAGCTAACAGTTCTGATAAGTTTATTTTTAATGCCATTGATGTTTTCTTACTGACTTTGCTCTTCATCCATCTTTACTTCCATATGTCATACACATAGTCTTGGTAAAGATCCTGGTATGGTTTTTTTTTTACCGTGAAGGTTGGAACACCTGATTTATTTCTTCAGTGACTCAGTTGCTTCTTGTAATATGCCTTGGTCTTTATAAGATATACATATAATGCATCTCAGATAATGAAGATACTAAATTTGCTTGTTCCATCCTAAGTGATTTGATGTTCTGCATAAGTGTAGGCTAACCCTTAGTACAGGGCGATACCTGATCGATATACCAGTCTTGTGGTACAAACTTTTGTCAGTGCTGCTATGAAGTTTGTATAGACCAGAAAATGGGATATGATTAACATCTGAAACTTGACACATGGGTTGAGTGAGGGTGCAGTTAGGTTTGTTCTGTTTTTGTTAGGTTACTGTTGCAGTTTAAGTTTTAGTATGGCAGAAGTTTGTGTATGTCCACTGTAATCATGGTGCATCTTTTTAGACATGAAGTATGTTGGAGAATGAAATTTTCTCTTACCTGCCCCATGTATCGTGTGTAGCGTTAGTGTGAGATTCTGTTTTTCTTTAGATAGACCTGTCTCTGTCTTTTTGATAGACCAGTATTGTTAATGGATATGATAAAATACAAAAAAAAAACATTCCAACAGCAACATTAGTTTGGTGTTCATTCAGTCTTTTTTTTGGTGGGATCAGTTCAGTGCCTTTCAGATCTGTGACCTCTGCTTGAAGATTTATTGCCTGAGAAGCAGTCATATAATCAGATGATCATCTGCTTAATGTCCTTTCAGATGTCATTTTCTTTCATCATCTCTTCAGTGGTTAGTTTACCTTTCCATTTCCTTTGTTATTCCAACCCAGTTGCTCTATGCTTGCAGGATTCATCGTTGAGCACTGCATTTCACTCATAGAAATTTTAATCTCTTAATTTAAAGAGCACAGTAGACATTTCAGATCTGTTTGAGCTGACTATAGTAAACCAGTTATGGTTATTGCAAACCAGGAGTGACATTACATTTAGCAAGCTGGTGTTCTGTAATTAAAAAGAAATTAATCCTTTCTTAAAATGGAAATTACGTGGTAAAACTTAAATGAGAGATTGCAAGACTACTGGAAAAGCAGTTGTAGTAGGAATGGAAAAGAAAAAAAACATCTTCCTGAGGAGGTCTCACTAATGAGTATTATCATAACAGTCTTCTAACATGTGGCACCATGTGCTATGGGATAGATAGGTATTGGCAGTTCAGAGGGATCTGCTGCCTCTATTTTCATTGTATCTGCCATGCAGATTAAGGCAGCAGGTTTGCCCACATATTTATTCCCACCACTGATTTATTTACTAGAAGTGCACTCTTCTGTTAAAATTAGTGACTACCTTACAGTTGTCGACATTGTTGACACACACGTGCCATGCAACGGACATTAGGTTAGCCTGTACAAGTTAAGCTTTAAATTAATCTAACAATACAAGTAAACATAACACAAACACAGAAATGTGATTTAAGTGGCATATGAGCGTAAAGTTGCAGAGGTAAGTGCTTAAAATCATCGGAGCTGGATATATTCACTCACAACATACAGATGAACTTGTTTCTGGTCTCACAGAATTGCTACTGTTTACTGCTTTATACAAGTGAATGACTGTATTCAGTGTTCGTTTTTCTTTTCAGACCCCTTTGCTGATGCAATCAAGGGTTCAGATGATGATGTCCAGGACGGTCTCGTGCATATAAGAATTCAGCAACGCAATGGTCGGAAGACTTTAACTACTGTACAGGGTCTATCATCTGAGTATGACTTGAAGAAGATTGTCCGAGCATGTAAAAAGGTTAGAATGACGTTTTCAGTGATTTTCATACATTAGAGCCTGGTTTTCTGATTTGCACACATTAGAGCCTGGTTTTCTTTTCTCTGGGTTCCCAGGTGTCGGAGTTGTGCAATAAAAAGTTTCTCTGGTAAAGTCTTTCTGTCAGTCTGTCATTGAAGACTACCAGAGATAACACATCTTGAACTTTTGAAAACACCCTTACAGTGAAGTGACAGTGTAATGAAGCCATTTCAGAAAGTACCCTTAATTTACTTACCGCTAAGCTTGTAACCGGGGTGTTTTTTTTTTTTTTTTCTTTTTCTTTTTTTGTAATGTGCTGTACCAGAAATGCTCTAGATTGTATTTGGTAGGATCTCTGCTGGGATACCAGCTGTCAGGACAATTTTTGTTGTTTTCCTCTGCAGCAGAGGTATTTGCCATGATACGCCTCAGGTTGTGACTGCTCCCAAACACTTTCATTTTTATTATTTACCAATCCTCCCATTGAAAACTATGTAGGCTGAGATACTGACAGCATCATAAACTAAACAAGAAGAAACATTGCATAGGGTTGGATGTTCTCACATCAGTGGTTATGAAGAGTTCTGTTTTATGGAATATAACAGCGTGGTCCGTTCAAGTCACCTGACATTTCACAGGAATGTTCCCTCCACAACACCAGTTGACTTTCAACAGACTACATGGCATTATATCCCAGAAGATAGTACTCTTCGACAAAAACATGTTATAATTTTATGTATTATCAGATTCAGCCGTAGAATGCAGTGACTTCTTGTAACTTATGTGGGTTGTGTTAGGGCTAATAACTATATAAAATCTGATGTTAGTAACAGGTTGCTGGGAGATGGGTAGATAGAATGGCGATGTTAGGTCCTATGATTGTAATTGAAACCTAAACTAAGAAACAGTTACATGAGGGAATAGTGGTAGGAGTGCCTGGATATGTTTTCCTGTAAACTAATGTAGTTTGTATTGTGTTGGTTTTAGGAGTTTGCCTGCAATGGCACTGTGATTGAACATCCCGAGTACGGTGAAGTGCTCCAGCTCCAGGGTGACCAGAGGGAAAACATCTGCCAGTGGTTAACCAAGGCCGGCCTCGCAAAGCCTGAACAACTAAAAGTTCATGGTTTTTAAAGAAAACCTCTCACAAATGATCCTCCCATTACACTAAATTATTGCAACCAAGGAGTCTGAAAGGTGTTATTTGTATCTGTTGTGGGACACTTGACGTCTGTTATTGTTGAATTTGGGCACGTCGGCACTACTGTTCTGTCTGTATCTTTTTTTTTTTTAAGCACGCAATAATCTTAGCTCCCTTAACCTGTTACGCTCTTTAGATTCCGGACAAGTCTCTTGTCCAACAGTTAGAAGCAATGTGCGTGCTTTGTGTGAGATAGCATGTATCTGAGGGCTGTTGATGATTTTAGAGAAATTTACCAGCCCCTTAGGAGGAAAAAGTGTTAACAGTGGATTTTTTTATTATTATTTAATGGGGGAGGGGTGTTGTATGCAGTTTTGTAATCACAAGAACTATTTTTGTAAGGGGAAACCTTTTTGAACCTGGCTGTTTGTTAGTTTTTGGTTTATTTTGAGGCCTTCTGACATCTTACACTACATTTAGTTTTGAGTATGGTTATTCACTTGGCATAACAGCACTGCATACTGATGATTCAAATCTCCAACCTCTCCAGTTTGATATTTCGTGCCTTTTGGGGGGATCATGCAGATATGAGTTGCAGTTCAGATAATGCTTCAGTATGACTGTTAAGCGTCCCTAAAATTTGGAATTTTCTTTCCTGAATTTATTTGTCATTCTGTTTAATATGTGGTTAACTATGTTTTTAAAACTAGTTTGTTAACTTATGTTCTAAGCTTCCTTGATTTTGGTGTTTAAAGAATTGTAATAATAAGCTGAATAGAGTGGTTGAAGTGTATAATAGTTCAGTTGTTCAGCTGAAACTTAATCAGCACATGTGACTTTAATACTCCATCCCAAATTTTAATTATTTTCTAAACTTCATTAATTTGGTGTTCAATGAAATGAAATAGTAGGCTGAATAGAGTGGTTCAAATGTATAATGGTTCAGTTGTTCAAATAAAAGTTAATCAGCACATATGACTTTAATATTCTATCCCAGTGTTTCTCAACCTTTGTCAGACCACGGCCCGGTAAATTCTTTTTTCTGTAAGACGGCGTGGTACCGAGCTGCAGCCCATCACTTGAGAAACACTGCACTATCCCAAGTCCTTTTGCAGAGTTTTGTGTGTTGATGGAGCAGCATGCAGAATGTGGATTGTGCACTCAAGCAGTGCATTGCTGTAGTCGTGCAGACATGTATGCAAGAAAGGGCAAATACTGTATTCTATATTTATTTAAAGATTAGTTCCTGCAAACAGTTTTAATTTAGTCATTGTCAGCATCTTAAAAATGTATTTTTCTCTGGGATTTGTTACACTGGAAATTTAAATTTAAGTATTTGAGGGCATGTAGGTTAAGCAATGGTGACAAGTCACATGGGTTAAGGGGGGTTGTGGTTTGTTACGCAACCATTTGTGTGAAATGAAGGCTATTATGAAAATTCATTGGACAGTCAGAATTTGAGCCAATCATAATTCTACCTTATTGTGCTTCTAGTGTCTGAAAGGGGCTTCAGATGACACTATGTAATTGACGACAAGGCATAAAGAGTAAATCCATTGTATTCTTATGCTAAGTATTATTGCTACGATCTATTCGTAAACTTGGTGGTGTAGAGGTAAGGTGCTGAAGCTCATGGCACAGGTGTCCACTGTCTCACCGCAGACAAAATGCAAACATTATAGGTCTGATTACTGTAGACTGCCTATGGTTCAGATTTCATGTCAAACTTCAGCTCTTTTTGTTATCAGAAGGTGTAAATGGGAATCTCTTTGGAGTTCTCTGTTCTTGCAAGGATGGCTCACGCTAAGTACATTTCACTTGATGTCTAATGACAAAAAAGGTGTTGAAAAAGACATTGAAGTATGTGTTGAGTGATATAAGCGTGTAAATCAGAACAGTGAGAGGCGGTTGACTGGCTGGTTGGTTGTGTGCTGCAGCCTGGAAGGAAAATAAACCCAGTTTTGGAGCTTGCTAGCAGAGAAACTTTCATGATCAGAGGGTTTTCATAGGGTTAAAAGCATTTGAATTTTGGAAGTATCTAAGATAGACTTCAGTGAAGAATGACCCTGAAGTGTGAATTTGGAACATAGAAAATGTTGGTTAATTACTGAGCATCATGGAGCAGTACATGTAATAAATATTAACTCTTTGACTGGCGCGAAGGGTATTTAAATCCCACCCCTGTCCTGGCAGGCCATTTAAACCTTATGTCGCTAAGATGCATGTGCTTGCTTTTTTCTAAACAACTTCAACAAAAATTGGTTTTTAAAAATGAAATTTTCAGGAACTATTAAAAAGACAATATTTTATGCAATAAATGTCTTTCCATACCTTTTTAGTAGTTTTTCTTCGTGTGATAAACATTGAAACATGAAAGTTTGCAGAGAGCCACACCACAGCTTGCACACATGATACTTGTTTCTTTTCTAATCTTGTGCTTAGCACACACTCGACACTTTCTCATGGCACCATTCTTCTTATTGTTACTGGGAGGAACATGGACCATTTTGTGAACTTTCAGGCCACCCTCTAGACGATTTTCTGGGTCTTTCACTGGTGGTCTTTTCAAGGTCGCGTGCGGAGGCGTGACTGCACTCGAGTCTGACGCATTAGTTTCGTCATTCACTTCATTCCTTGACTGTTCTCCCTCTCCACACTGTTTGTTTGGTTCTGTCATTTTTTCTACACAGTTCAATATAAAATCTTTGAATTTGTAATTTCTCCTCTTGTATTTTTCTGGGCGTCAGGCACCGCACTCGTGTTAGCTAAATGTTCATCATTACTGTCTTGTGGATCATTGTCTATCACTGTATTATTGTCACTATCAAATTCATCCAATTCAGGAATCATTATTTCATCGCCACTATCATCATCAGCACAAATCTCCTTCACAACACTTTCCAGCTGGTCTGTAGGAACATGTCGACAATTGCTGCGAGAAGACACGGTGAAACTGAATGAATGTGAAATATTTTTTGAACTTTTCCTTCTCGGAGGGTTCTGAGAGTAATATAGACCCCCACAAAGTTTACAAGGGTTCTTTACAACCATGCACAAAAACTACCATATATATGTCTTTGGTTGATGAGTGCCAAGAGAGCAAATAAGGGAAGAGATTTTCAAAGCGTTAAAACACGCCAACGCCAGGGAACGGTTGGCATCACCCCAGCGTTAAAACACGCCCGCGCCAGTCAAAGAGTTAAGGGAATTCAAATTTTGGGCTGGCTATCACCTTATGGTCTCAGGGTAGAGGTTATGTGATAGTACACTTTGAAATTAAAGAATCGCTGAGTTCAGTAACTCCTGAAAGTAACACAGGTCTGCATGAAGGGGAGCATGTTTCTTGGACTGTGAAAACACTATTTAGTGATCAGTGGTGAAGAACATTTGTCAGGAAACAATTTTGTATAAAAAGGTAGGATTAGTAATTGATTCCATCACTAATTTTTCTTACACTGTTACTTGCAATGCTTTTTATAAAATGCCCTTACATATAATTTGGGACGGTTAGTATGTAATTGAACACGACATGAATCGACTTAAGCACATTTTATAGTTCTGCACACCCAACTGGCTAAAGGTTCTCCAGGTGCCCAAAGCCCCCTCAATTGTCTCTGATGAAATTTAAGTTTTAATGCAAAATACATTAGATTAGTAGATATGCAAGGCCTTTTGTTTAGACAGTCATTATTCCTGTTGGTAACCCCAGAATTGGCCACAAAGTCTTCATAATCCCGGCACAAAAATTAACTAATTTTATATTACAGATGTGCTCTGGGCTCTCTGTAATTCACATACTTTTGCTTTTCACTCGCTCTAGTCAACAGAGTTGAACAACTGAAGTGTGAGTAGTTACTATAGGATTCTGACGATGGTGTATAACACACTGATATAACCAGGACGATGGATAAAGTCCAAAAACCCAATATATCAACTGAAGTGTGTACTAAAAATGTGAATTAACAAACAATAATAAAATAATCTTTTTAGTGGCTCAAGATGTTTCACGACACCAGAGACAGGAAGTATGTCAGGTGTTACAAGATGGTACTTACTTACTCATGGAGCTCAGCCCTTCTGAAGGAGCAGCCAATTTTGCAGCTACTAGAGAATTTCCCAGCATTTTATGGAACCCGAGGGTTCATTACCGTGTTCACAAGAGCCCTCCACTGGTCCGTATCCTGAGCCAGACCAATCCAATCCATACCATCCCATCCTGTCTCTCTAATATCCATTTTAATATTGTCCACCCACCTACGCCTTGGTCTTTGCAGTGGTCTCTTTCTTTCTGGCTTTCCCACTAATATCCTATACGCATTCCTCGTCTACCCCATTCATGCTACATGCCCTGCCCACCACATACTCCTTGACTTGATCATTCTAATTATACTTGGAGAAGAGTACAAGTTATGAAGCTCCTCAGTGTGCAGTTTTCTCCAACTTCCTCTCTTCGGTCCAAGTAATCTCCTCAACACCCTCAGTCTATGTTCCTCCCTTAATGTCAGAGACGAAGTTTCACGCCCATACAGAACCACAGGCAAAATTGTAGTTTTGTATATTCTGACTTTTATGTTTTTGGACAGCAGACGAGAAGACAAAAGGTTCTGGACTGAATGGTAGCAAGCATTACCCAGGTTCAATCTCCTCTTAATATCCTCCTGAATCAGGTTTTGATCTCTTATCGTTGTTCCCAAGTTTCTGAATTGTGCCACATTTTCAAAACATCTGTTTCCTATCTTTATGTCATGATTCTGCCCTGCATTTTGGTGACGAGACAGCAACATAGTTAGTTTTCTCTGTGTTTACTTCCAGACCAACCTCTTTACTTGCATCAATTAAAGTCTGTGTGTTTTCTTTCTACATTATCACCCAGCAGATTCACATCATCGACATAGACCAACAGCTGATGTGTCCCGTTTAATTTCAGTCTCACCTGGTTTCCCCGGACCTTCCTAATGGCATATTCTAAGGCAAAGTTGAAAAGGAGAGGTGATAAAGCATCTCCTTGTTTTAGACTATTCTGGGTAGGAAATTTATCAGACACATGTTTACCTACATGGAATTTACTATACGTTTCGTTTTAATACACATTTTAATCAACCTAACTAGTTTCACGGGTATCCAAAACTCTATTAGAATATTGTACAATACTTCCCTCGTAACTGAATCAGAGGCTTTCTTGAAGTCTATGAATAGCTGATGTACTCTCTCATCGTACTCTCATGTTTTCTCAAATACCTGATGAATGCAAAAGATCTCATCTGTAGTTGATATGTTACGTCAAAACCCACACTGATGATCCCCAATAGTTTCATCTCTATATGGACTTAACCTTGAGAGAAGAATATTGGATAAAATTTTGTATGAAGTTGATAGCAGTGATATCCTTTGATAATTACAATCAGTTTTATCACTCTTCTTGTGAACTGGTACAATAATAGACTCCTTCCACTGATTAGGCAATCTTTTCTGATGGCAAATAGAAGTAATTAGATTGTGTATTTTAGAATGTAATATTTCACCTCCTGCTTGAATAAGTTCTGCCAGAATTTGATCACTGCCAGATGGTATGTTTTTATAATGCAGAACCACTTTGGGCAGAAGCGTTTCTTTCAAAAGAGTTCTGAGGATCGTGGATAACACCGAATTAATGGGTTTTTGGACTTTGTCCATTGCCCGGTATTCTAAAAACTGGAGAAGAGAATGATTTAGAAAATGGTTCTGTTTCTTTCTTTGGGTCAGGACTGAATAGTGTTATATGGACAGAGTAAAAAACCCAGTAATTCTGTTCTTAAATTGCTGTTTGTAACAAAACTTTAAGCTCTATGGTTCATGATATATATATATATGACACTGTTTAAACAAGAAGTTCAAGGAAGGACTAATTGCCAGCTTTCCTTTGATATGACATTGACTGCATAGAAAATGATGCATCCTATAAATATGTTGCATGTGTATTCGTTGTTTCAGTAA